AACCACTCAGAAGTAACATTCGGCGGCACTCGCACTCAGCGAGTTGGGTTCTTTTTGGCAACCTTTTACGCATGCTTGCGCATAACTCTGCAGTACCTGTCAAGACGAAGTGCTCAACAAAGAACTTAACAGATGGAAAACCTCACAGATTCATATTATCGCCTGTAATGAACTGGTAGAGCACCTTAGTCCACGAAGTATAACTAGGGATATCATACCTACAGTCAACGAGGAATGACAGGGCCCCCGGTTAGTCATGAAGCCCACCATTCGGGAGCGATAGCCTTGACCTTCCATAGGTTGAACCCAGCAACATTGGGGAAGTCATGGTGCTCATTATGGAGTCTGAGGGCACGCATGGCGACTATCATACACAGACCCACTGATACTTACCCAACATTGTAGACGATGAAGTTGAGAGGGCCGTAATAGCTATAAGTCTCCTGACCATACACGAATTCGTAATGCTCGGCGATGAAGTGACCAGAAATGGGGTTGAAAATGCTCAGACCCATAAAGAGACCACCAATGAGATAGAAAAAAGATTTCCACCCAAGGCACTTCACAACGAGGATATCAAACGGCAGTTGGACCAGCCAGTTGGTGAGCTCATACAAGCTCATAGGGAGAGGGTGAACAACCATGGGCCTCAGGGCGTAGAAAAAGGGTTGGAAGAAGGCCCAGACGAACTTGCCAAACTTGTGTTGGAATAGGTTGGCTTCAAATCGAGTTGGGAGGTCAACATCAACCTTGGGAACTCCCTAATACGATGCGTTAAAGGAAACTACACTCAACGGTAATGCTGCTCACCTGGGAGGAGTGATGATCAAGATGGTATCTTCTGAAAGTGGCCATCATAGCAACTCCAACAGGGAGGTTCAGGAAGAGGCTGAAAAACACAAGTGACTTTATAGCTAAAACGACTACGAGAAACCTACGAGAAAAGCCTGTTATAAAACCTAGTCTTGAAGAACATATCATGGGACAGCTCGTGGCCCCCCATCACAATAGAGTGCTCCATAAAGCCAGAGATCAACTGAACAGCCACGATCCACAATATAGAGAATACCAGGGGAACCTCTTACCCAAGTGGCGAGGATTACAGAAGGCCACGACCAGTTCCTCACTAGAAAGCACATCACGAACTGGATGAGGACAGTGAAAGTAGCAAACACGGCTTCGCGATTATCAGCACCTTGTACCGCGACGATCTCTGGGTGCCTGAGAGGTAACTATATGAGAACCAAAACGACCCACAAGAACTCTCACGCTTGCACGATTTGCTTTCTTCGGAGTCTGTGAATCTCAGCCGACTTGGACCAATGGAAATCTTTAGGAGCATACTTCCTCTGAATCAGCTTATTCGCGGCGGAGACATCCTTGATAGTCCCAACATGAGAGGGCTCCAATGCATTGAAGTGGACTAGCTTGTTCATCTCCTCAGTGGGAGTATGATCCTTCCCGTCCTCCTCCCCTTCTCGAGCCGACTCCCTAGCAATAGCGCCTTTAGGAAGCTCAACCTTAGTGGTAGTAGTAGCAGACTCCTCAACTGTGACCTTAGCTGGAGACTTGCCGCCGCCCTCAGTGGAAGTAGTAGTATTAGTGTCAGTCATGATATATGAAATAAATCGATAATCCTAGCAAAAACCCCTTACCATTAGAACCCACCAACAAGCCAGGAAGAAAAGCAATCACCGTATAGATACGCTCAGGGACCTATCGTGACCTAACCCGCACTACCAATGAATAAGGACGTTGACCGAACGCTACTGAATCTAATGACATGCTATCTTCAATCGATTATCCACTACAACCTATTGGATTCCCTCCACCTAGCACACCAGAAGTACGTTTGTGAGGATCTTCGACACACTCAGAGATGCGCGACCTCACTGACGGTTTGAGCTCTACTGAGTCTAGGGAGAATATTCTACCAAACTAGACAAATGAGCTCTCAATACAACCCATCAGTTCAGCGAGTTCTCCGTAGAGTGCCCTCTTGCATTCCCACCATAGAGGAGCAGCAACAACCCCACCACCAAGAAGATACCCAATCGTTGGTCTAATAATACTAGCGTAAAGATTATGTCACTAAGCTCGACATAACACATAATGATATCCACGAAAACCCCTTTTCCAGGACCCGTCTATACACCAACCAGTGCAGCAGCATCCATATCCTAACAACGACAATCGACGCCCTCCTACTACCCATGAGGCCCATACTACTACTAAGTGGACAGCAGTCTTAGCTTGGTAAAGGCGTTATTACTCTATAACACGATAACGCCAAGACCCAATGACTCTATCGGTCCCCATGAATCCTCCCGTGTGAGCAGTTCGACGCTATCATGTCGTTCCACCTACGACCGTAACATGCCTTCCTAGAGGACTACTACGGCTGTCTGGTTGGCTGGGACAAAAAGGAACTTTCTTGCAAATGCACAACAGCTCAACATTCATCGAATTTCCCGGCGTCTCTACTTGGCATTTGGGGCGTCCCTATGACTATATAGAAACACTCTCCCCCTCAATGGACATAACTTCCCTATAAGTTGTGAACAGTTGACGAGAGTAAAGATCTTGTATTGTATTACACCTATTCGGTAGAGTATTGTTGGTTACACCATGTCGAGGATCTACAACATCGATTTCGACCTGCCAGAGGCCCATGAGAGCATTCCTCTTGATGATACTAAAGATGCTACTGAGGTAACCCATCCCAGATGGCGATCGACTTTTCCCATCATCGACTTAGTCGTTCCACACTAGCAAGGTCCTGGACCGATCCCTGAGCCTACTCCTTGACATGGAGGACTTCTGGACACCTCTAAGGTGGCAGTCTGCTGCTGACCCTCCAGTGAAGATGCTCAAGGCGGTCGGCAAGAAACCATCAAGCTCCACAAGGTGAGCTCCTCATCTACCTCCGATGACTGTAATGCCTCAGTGTTGACCTCATCGGCCTCTTTGACTCGCCGCCCTCCACACGCCAGGAAGAGGACATTGACGATGGGTTCGAACTACCAAACAATAGCCTCCTTGCACGCATGCTCATCAGGACTGACCTATCTATCAAAGAGACTGTCGAGATGTGGTTCCCCAGACATCCCCATATGCATCAAGTACGCCATTGTCTACCCCAGCTTCGGACGTATCCCCTCCTCCTCAGATGCCCCTGCCTGTCGTCGAGCCCCCATTGAGTCTGCTGATGTCCATATCATCATCCCATCGAAGGACCCCTCTCCCCCGCCTCGACGAGCCCCTCATCCCCGTACTCTCTTCGGCTCCCACTACTCCTGCCAGCCAATCTAACCCTCAGGTTGTGTACCCATACGACCCTCAGAGATTCCCAGTACGTTACAGTGATGATCTTCGTTTGGAGCTGGGTGAGACCAGTAGAATCGAGTCGCCTTTTTCCATCGGTTTTGATGTTCTATCAGATATTCTGGAGCCACTCCGCCCTGTTAAGGGTCTCGACTTGAATGATTTTTATAGGCTTATAGAGGATACATCCGTAACGCCCTCGCTGGGGATCGAACCCGCGCCCCTTGATTACGCAGGATTGTCGACTCAGACTCCCTCCGCATCGTCAATGTGGCACACAGTGAATCCTGTCTATAAGATGATGACTACTCTGAAGCTGCTCATCGAAGGTGTTGCAAATTATATCACCTCGGACGAGGTAGCGTCACCACCCTTTAACTTTTCGAACGCTCTCAACCCTCCCAGATGGACCTCCGTAGAAGCCCTACCATCCCAAGGAAAAGAAATGACCCAGCAATCACTTTCGGTGGTCAACTGATATCTCAATAACGATATCACTCAAGTCTATTCCTCAGGTCTCGATGACCCTTGCCTCAGAAGCAGCAGCACTACTAAAAAACGACGAATTGATGAAGACTTCTCGCCCTCACCGATTGCAGCATCAGGTAGCAGTAATCACCTTGTGTGCACTCGTATGGATGATGATTTGGAGGACTTGAAGATTCGTGAGGACGAACGCTATCAAGTAGGCCTGAACTACTGCTGATGATTATGGTCGAATGCTCAATCATAACATCGTCAGGATATTCCCTTGGAGATGAATAGTCAGCAGCCCCACTACTTCGATTATGACGATCCCATGACGGGTACGCACGAGGGTCGTTCCTTCTCGCCCACTGAGGAGCCTACTATCAGGTATTTCTTACATCTCACTGGCTGATGAAATCGAGGAGATGCATCCCTTGGTAAAAACTTCCGCCATTATACAGGCTCCTATTCCCTCTGCCAGATTTCCGAGCTTTCATCCCATTCCCCATCCGAGGGTGGTTGGGACGTCGACGATGTCCTCGAGGACCCTCCCTGCACTGCAATCGTCCCTTATCGAGTAATCGTATAGCCCGGCTCGACTTGTTACCTTTTTTCATAGGGACCACCAGTCCCCATTGGCGACTGGGCTATCGACTACCTCGCCGCTGAGGACTACCTCCCACACATGATGATCAGCGGCACCAGTGAGAGCTACATGTCAACCTCGGGATCCTCTGATGAGTCTTCGACCATCACTACACCGTCACAAGATGAACACTCTACCAGTTCGGACGACGACGACGAGGACGAGCATGAGAGCATCTCGGACCTCTCCCTTGAATCAGAGGAGTCTATCTACATCGCTGAGTCGACTGATACGGACGATCCGGACGCAAGCCTGGAGTGCATGACGGAGGTCTCTGAGTGTGTCTCGTCCTTCACTGAGGACCCCAGGGTAGGTCGAGGATAAGGGACTGGTTCCTGCTTAGTAGGGCTTAGGAACCGCTGAAACTCACACCCATCGCAGGCCGGGTCGAAATAGGAAGTTCATCGCGAACCTCAGGTTGGTTATGATACTCCACTCTTGGGCGACTCCACAAGTTGATTTGATTTCAGGAGGCTTCGTGCCGCAACGACATCGTCAAGACTTCATCAGATCCATGGTGGGATACTCCCTCCATCACAGAAATCGAAATGATCAATCATCACCTCAGACGGCGTGGCTATCAGAGATCGCCTTGGAAAGGGAGCGGCAAGCCATGGCTGTTTGTGATGATCGTCGTCATGATGAGCCAGCACCTGCCGAGTCATGCACCCAAATACAGGTCTATAGGGTAACGAGTGAGGGACCATGCCTATAGGTATTGAAGTTATGTTCCTCAGGGTGGCGGCCAAGTGGAGACCCCTGTGCTGCGGTATCGGGAGGAACTTGGTGATGCTCCAGGCTACTTCGGATGCGCTGACTACAGCAAGGTGATGTCCGCCTTGTGCCGCAAGGAGCATGTAAGACGACTCGTACACGGTTGGTAAGGGTCTGCGATCAGGTCATCGCCTTACCCAATGTCGACTCTACCACTACCACCAACACTACTTTGGCACTGCTCGACTATACGGATCTCGACGTATACGAGGTATCGTCTAGGACTCCTCTTCGTGGTGTGGATTCATTTCAGCCTGGGAGGCTGGCCATCCCGGCTCCCCTTGGGTACGGATATGATGAACTGGATATTGAGGATTTGGATTGCGACACTGAGCAGTCAGATTTTGATGATGGTACGTCTCCCTCCGTGGTGCGTACTTAACTTATCTTTCAGAATGGTCTGTGATTGGAGATGATAGATTTTATTCGGAAGTGGACTCTTTCATTTTACTAGGCTGAATGTTGGACTTATAGCACAAGTTCATGTATGGGTCTTCAGACCAGAGGAAATGCCAAGTCATTTCGAATTGTTCATGTCTATTCTTCTCCCATATTCTTCAACTTATTTACCCATGGATGTTGTTACATGAATTCACCTCTATTGCGTTATAGTAATCGTAACCTCTATTCCAACTGATCGGACGCAACACCATGTAAGCAAAGATCAGAGTAATGACTATCCAACCCTGATGAATGGTATGGGACTCACAGTTGTTACCTGAATCTGGTCATAGCTGGGGTGGTGCACCCACTACCTATCTGGTGATGCGGAATATGTTCAATCTGGATATTACTAATTTATCGTTCATATCATACTATATTCTATATTATATACTCAATTTTCAAGAATGTCATAATATTAATTATCATTATATATTACTCTGTGAAAGCTACAGAGATGGTATAGCATGATAGATCCCTTCCGACGGGAGAGAGTAGCATCACTATAAACATCGTTCTGGGATTACTGATGTTGCATTATCGACTCTCATGGGATATCAACATTCAGCTTAAACTGAATCACCTCGTCATTAATCGGCGAGGGAGTCATGATGAACCTTACCACCCATGGGGGATTAACAAATTCATCCCCACTCAATAGTCGAGAAACTTGCCATCCTAGTCGATCAACGGGCCCTAGCAGAGTGCCCCATGGCAACTGTTTCTATGCATCGACCTCACTAAGGGCTTCATATAGGATTACGGTCGCATGTAGAGAATTTAGTGACAGACTCTGGCTGTGCCAGCCATGCACTGTTGAGCTCGTCGAACCCACCAACACCACACAAGCCGATCCAATCTGAAGTGATAGTCGGATAACGAAATAAGTCATGAAAGCATCATAAAAAATCATCTCGTCTCTCATAAAATCATCGATTCTCTTCATTCACGTGGAAACAGCCCAGGACCTTGACCCCAGTGATCAACAATAGCGGCACAGTTGAGCGCACCTTCGCCCAGTTGGGTTTATCCTCTTCATGTTCGCCTCCCCTACTGCCGGTCAGAAGCGCCAATGCATCTTGCGTTTGCTTATCATCGGGATGGCCATCAGCAATTGCCACGAAGTCAAAACCCGTGCCTGAGGAAGTACTGGAAAGAGCAATGATGGACACTCACTCAACGTGGGGAGATATGCACATGGTCAACTACATGTGGTAATATGAAAATCTCGAGGGAATTTTGCGATTTTCTCGTTGGTTTCTGTACATTTCTACCCGAATTCGTATGTGAACTCCTACGCTGAGCTGAGGAAAGCGAACATACATCCCAACTGATTGCACTCACTGGCAGGGAATGAATGAAGACTTGACAAATTCACTTGTGATGATCTAAAGCAGTCCAGAGCCCCCATGAGTGAGCCGTGCTTGTGGTTAACATTGAATGCTATCAGAGTACGGTCAGATCCAGTAGCCGATGGGTTTGCAAGTGGACGACGCAAAATTCCAAACCTGAATTGACAACAGCAACCTCCGACTAGGGCGGCAAGAGCAGCACGCTGCTCCTGTTGTTGCCTACTGTAGTTTCACTTGGTCTAGCTCAGAATTGGGGATGTTTATCGATTTGAAATCCTTGTCATAATTTTCCATCATTTCATACAGGTAAGGCGTAGGGATGACCGCGACAGCCTTGGGGTCCTCTTCGACGATCTCGATGAGCTGACCACACAAACAGACCACCAAAACCAAGCACGTCAGCCACATACCTTTTCGACAGCTTCAAAATAGGTATCACTCAGTTGGAGTTTTATACCCGGCACCTCTGAAATCTGCGCTCTGCAGTACTTGGAGGTTAACGACGTAGTAATGACCGTAGAAGCCTTGGTCAAAGGCACCGGCCTGCCCGACTTGGGTAGAGATATCACTGTGTAACTGATTATCATCCTCATCTACCCAAAAGTTGATATGAATGATGATGACCTAGGCTGTAAAGTGATCTGGTCGCATACGACGAGGTTGGCTCCACTAGGCCTATGACTGTCAATAAGAGCTCCCAGTGTTTGTATATCCACACCTGTTGATGATGATGATGCCAAGCTTCTACTCAGCTCAAGTGCACCCCTACCTGTTATCGAACTATCCAGGGGAACCACCCCAAAGCTAACCGCGCTACTAGCTACGTCATCAAAAACACACTTCACCGAGCTGAAAGGATGAGTCCCCTCTACCCCCCAAAGAGCCCCTACTCGTGAACCTTCAATTGAGGCCGCATGGCATGGCCAGTAGCCTTCGGACTGCTGTTTAGTGGTTGACCCATGGTGTACTCCACCGCAGCTACTCTAGCCCATCCCGTCGTCACTGCTATCACTACTGAATCCAACCTCCTAAGGAGATATGCAACCTGAATAAGTAACGCTATATGCACAATGCTCCTCAGCTATACCCACCTGGACTTCCTTAGTCAAAGGGATCATAAGGTCTCTATAGGCCAATACGACAGTATCAGGGTCAACCTTCAACGAGGCACACTCATCCGCCTCCACACTGCCTGGAGGAATATACGTTCGCTTTGCTCAGCTCAGCTCAGCTCAGCAGTTCCCTCACCAGTTATAGAACTTCACACATGAATTCGAGTAGAAGTGTTCAGGAAAACCAACAAAAAATTCCAAAAAATTTCTCAAAATTTCTCAACTGCCACCGACACATGCAGTTAACTATGTGCATATTTTTCCATACCGCACGGCACGGGATTTCACGAATTAAAAAAGGATAATCATATCATAGATATCGTCGGTATCTTACAACACTCTACCGCCATAACTCATCGAGCTGACCTGTCTGGATATCCCGACCATACGCCCGTGCCTTCTCCCTAACCCTCCGCAGTAGCTTTTCCTCAACTGCTGAATCAGTGAGGAGATCCATAAGCCCATCAGCATCTTGTTGGCGGATGAGTTCCGAATACCTATATTAGAAAACTATACGCCCAGCCTAGCTCCTCCTCCTCGTCGTCGTCGGGCTCCTACAGTTCCCTATGGGCCTGAAACTTCGCCTCAGCCACCATTTTCCCATAGTGTATTCTTCTACTCATCGCCTGCAGGGCGGTAACATCCCTCACCACAGATGCACCTACACACAGGATTGAAATCGAGCGGATTTCCCGTCCCATTAAGGGCTGTAAGCAGGCATAGGTCCCACGAGACCATGCCGCCGCTTCCAAGCAGTGTTGGAATATACGTCTGCTTCCCTCAGCTGAGATTAGGAGTTTCCTCACTAATTATAGGAGTCTATACTCAAATCGGGAGTCAACAGTAATCTCCCTAATTTTTCTCAGCATTTCCATATTGTCATGAACATATGTGGTTGACCATGTGCGTATTTTCCTCCCACACTGCGTCCAGGTATCAAGAAAAATAAATCGAGTTCATAGCAAAAGCGCCCACCTAAAGAAGCCGACGACTTGTCCTCTCCAGCTGGACATACCAGAGGGATAACATTCTTGATATAAAACCTATACAAGAGCAGTACCTGTCACAGGTAACACTGCCTTAACCTACGATTTCAAACGGGTGTTGGCATTGATGGTATTGGGCACGATGCGCTGAGGAGTGTCGTCAATCTCCGTGAACAGTGGAGCCGGCAACTGAAATATCCGAGGTTCCCGGCCATAAGATACAAAATAGGTTCCTACCAATTTGGGATTAGTAAAGGGCTCCTCGAGCATGTCATATCTTCTGAATCTCGAGTGGAGCTTTTCAGTCTCGGTAAGGAAATAGTCCAATTTCGAACAACTGCCGATCTCCTCACATAAGGTGTAGTTACTCAGATTCTGCCCAAAACCAAGCTCAGCCGTTCGAATAGTTCACACGCCTCTTACCTGCTTGTGTTGAGCTCGTTCGATGAGGGCAAAAATGACGGTCTCCTCTTGGCGTATTAGATCCGAGCGGAGGTCGGCGAGCTGGAGAGGCTCCGGCTGGCGACGATTACTCTCAATATTCATCACGACAGAGGTACCTCTAAGACGAAGTGGCGGAGGAGTGGTAACAAACAGCACCGAAACTCGATGGTGCGGACTATAACGCAATATAGAGTCATATAGGACGTTGAGACTGGCGGATCAGGGAGAGGTGTGCAGAGGACAGTCTAGAACCTCCAAGTACTCTTCGAATGCATAGCCCAAGGGAACTTATTCCGGATAGTCTTGGCAAATATCTGATAACAACAACAGTAACAACAACAATAACGGTAACAACAACAATAACAGTAACAACAACAATAACAGTAACAACAACAATAACAGTAACAACAACAACAATAACAGTAACAACAACAATAACAACAACAACAACAACAACAACAATAACAGTAACAACAACAACAATAACAGTAACAACAACAACAATAACAGTAACAACAACAACAATAACAGTAACAACAACAATAACAGTAACAACAACAACAACAACAACATCAACAACAACAACAACAACAACAACAACAATAACAGTAGCAACAACAACAACAACAACAACAACAACAACAACAACAATAACAGTAACAACAACAATAACAGTAACAACAACAACATCAACAACAATAACAATAACAGTAGCAACAACAACAATAAGAGTAACAACAACAATAAGAGTAACAACAACAATAACAGTAACAACAACAATAGGAGTAAGGACAATACCGAGATGAACATCATCCCGTGACCGATCCGAATTTAAAATAAACCCGCCTACTGCCCTCACCTTTTCAATAGGGCAATCGTGAGACTTGCAGAAAGCCACGGATATTCGAGGGTCCATATAGTTGATCTTGGAGGTAGTCAACGATACCGTCTTATTATCCTCCTTATCAGCTATTTGAATCTTAGTCCGTTCAGCTGAGCACACCAAGTAGTTCTATTAACGGCCAAGTTCCTTACCTGCCAGTTTCTGCGACTTGATCTTCCTCACCAGAGAGTCCATGTTATTGGATTTCTCCAATTTCTTTTCTACGATGATTTCCTTCACCTGAAAAAACTAACGTGTTATTAACCCAAACCTTCCTATACCCTCACATCCTTAGACACAGTCTTCCCTAGAAGTTCATCTCGTCGTCCCTCTAGCCCTCGCAGAGTTGCCTGATAACACCAATCACTACTGCGAATAACGAGGTGCTTGTCTACCTCCTGATCAGCGAGTTTCTTCTTCAGCCGTTCCATACCAGCCTCGTGCTGTTTCGGTGGTGCCCTCTGGAACAGGAAAAATACAGCGGAGCGGAGCGAAGCGATTCCTACTTGATGGTTACAAAGGATGGCTACTCTCCTATTGGCATCATTGTAGAACTTTACCATCTCACTAGGGTCGCTAATGTCATGTTCTTCCGGATCGAATTTACCTAGAAATGAAAAATGACAGGTGCCGGGATCGAACCCGCGTCGGCATACACAACTCCTGCTCCAATGTGATCGAGGCATTATACGTACGGAAAACCTAACACAGACCATAGCCAACTGGTGACACGCATGGTGTCACCTTCGCCGACAACTCCTGCATAAACTGCTTGAAATAGTCGTTAACTTTCGAGGGATCAATCGAGAAAATCATATCTTCCGGTTTCCTCGCCTTACACAAGGCCTTCAGATTCTTATACACCAATCTAAAAACAACAACAACAGCCTTGAGAGCGCCCTTCCCCTTCACCCCTTACGGGTCCACTTGTACAGTATTAAGATAACGTATAGAGTCTTTACCCAGGAAGTCCAGTGTGATCTTATTGTCCGCCTCAAAGGTCATATGCTCGACTCTCAAACTACCTACACCAGACATGGTATAATGTTAGTCTCAGTGCTCAGTGATGGACTGAATCGATTACTATTCTGTCCAGGAACCCATCTGACTTCGAGAAATGATTTTCCCCAGGGTTCAATAACAATAACAATGACAAAAATGTTTCTAATGTGATGATGACATTTACACGGAAAACGTGGAAAATTCAAAATGAGCTCCATTCGGGAACATTATAGATTCCTCGATGATTCCCTGATTCTGTTCACTGCGCTGCAAGACAAAAAGGAATAGGTGATATTACAGCAGCCCACAGTGTCGGCCTCTTCCTCCGTGTTCTTCTCATTGCCAACCTGGACGAGGGATAAGTCAATGCAGTTTTACCACCCTAGTGATATGAAAAACACTAGTGAAAAATATATTTCACTATTACTGCATATCACCGCGAGTATCGCGTTTTTGACCCAGTTTTATGCCACTTCACGTAAAACGGGCGAAACTCCTTTATATACAACCGGTGAGTTAATACACGCCTCCCTATGCTGACCATTTACCATTATCATTTTAGATACACATGCTGAAAGTATAAGAGTATGTAAGAAGAATTTGTGAAAGAAATTTGAAAATGTGAGATTTTGACGCACGATTATATCCACGTAGCTTTGAAATATTAATAATTAACGTACTGCCAGGCTTTCCTGCATGGTTTTTGCACTTGGTTTTTAATGAAAGTAAAACGTGGACTCCACAGGAAATTTGAAAATGTGATATTTTGACGCACGATTATATCCACGTAGCGTTGAATTCACCAATTAATTTACCATCACATTACAGCCGTTCGAAATCATCCAGTGTTGGAGGAATATATGTTCTCAGCTTTCCTCGACTGAATCCACTAGTTTCCTCACTAATTATGCAAATTTCCTTACGAATTCGAGTTCAAGTGCAGAGAAACCAATGAGAATTTTTTCAATTCTCAAAACTTCCTCCAATGCCATAGTTAACTACTTGCGTATTTTCCCGCACCAAAATCACCAAGTCTTCACTTACTCTCAATGCCAGCCGATCGATCAGGTACACCGCCGTGCCCAGCTCCTTCTCATCATCATCAGTGGACTTCATCTTTTTAGTGTAATCGTCTCTGATACCTCTAATGTATCTACTCCCATGAGAGCCTCCCCACCACTGCTCACCACCGCTACCACTACTTCTTCAATTTCCGCGCCTTCTCGTATTTCAACCAATCACTTTGGCCTTTAAACCCACTGGCAGCATTCAAGAAAACATATCTAACACCAGTGAGAGTCCAACCCGACACACAGAGATGCCAAACTACTTCACTTGATTGTTGATCGTATCAGTGAACCATGCAAGCCATGTTACAGCCGGATCATGAACCACATCCTTATACGCATGTCCAGGCACAGGGCACTTAGAAAAATGCCATATCACTGCGCTTTATCATAGTTACTTACTCGAGGAGCCGGCGCGTCCGCTGCACAGTTGACAGTAACGTCCTCGGGCAGAATATACTGCTTCAGCTTGCCCATCTTTGGATGGTCCCCTCGACCTCGGAAGAGATTCGGAGGTTCCACCCGGAAGTTGCCAACCCTACATGAACACCAACAAAAAATAATACAATTTCATGCGATGCAATAAAGTTGATTTTCGAAAATACACAAGTCCTATCAGTTAATGAGAGGACCGGTCCAGATCTCATCTTCACTGTGTGATCCAACTTTCCCGGGAGTGCGCACAGCGAAGATTTAAAAGATATTTCCAAGATCCTCGACTGACCTTTCGCGCAGCTCATCAACAATGACGTGAGTATAAGGGTGATCATTTAGCCTTTTAGCTTCCTTCTCCGCCTCTTTCTCCTCCTTGGTCCTCGCTTTCTTCGCTTCGCTCCGCTTATCCAAATAGTTCTTAATCGGCTCAAAGTCGCAACTGAAAAATGCCCACTCCCGGGATCGAACCCGGGACCTCTCCCTACTCCTTCAATTTCGTTATCTTGGACTTCAACTCCTTAGGCAACTTCGCCTGGAAATCCGCCCAAAAGTTGTTCTGAAATTTCTCCTTCTGACACCAGTCCGTACCTGATATCACCAAAGATACGCCCAGGTCCCGGGATGAAGATTCAAAGCATGCCCACCTAGTGTCTGCGCGAAAAACGTAGCAACTTCTTCCGCTTCAGGAGGTAAGTCGATTGGCTCTCCTTTGTACCTATTCCGTATCTTACCAACACCAACCTCAAGATTCCTGCATTACAGCATCTTAACTCCATGAGGCTCATAAGGAGGAGTAAATATCATTCCATGATGTTCCAGGTAAGACCATTTCGCCGCATTGTCCTAAATTCATCCACTAAGATGACCTACTACCCCGATGCTGATTCTCATTTTTACCTCCGGATCCTTCTCCCACCACCTATTGAAAGGTTCAAAGTCGTCCTCCGTCCGCACGATCGCCTTCCTTTTCCGTCCACCCCCTGTAGCGACTTTCTCCTCAGCTCCCTCCTGAGTAGATTCTATACCAAATCAGCCTCACATCGTATCACGCTCAGTGTGGGAAAACATGCGCATGGTCGAAAAATTATAAAAAAATTGTGAAAATTTTTTACTCGTTTCACTACATTTCAATTCGATTTCATATATAAACGTCTATAATCAATGAGGAAACTCCCGAGTCCAGATGAGAAAAGCAAAGATAAAATCCAAAACTGATTTCACCCATCCCGACAAGAAAATAAGAAAATGCCTTTTCTTCTCGTACTATTCACAATATGGTAACTTCGCTAATCAGTCGACTGAAGATCGTCAATCGCCTTCGAAGCGAATCGATACCTTTTACATGATGAAAACAGGAGACTCTCAAAGTCGATATAGAAATACCCTCCCTAAGCTGAGAGATTTTCCGTTATAAAATGGCCTCCCGACAGTTCCGTTATAAAATGACCTCCCGACAGTTCCGTTATAAAATGACCTCCCAACAGTTCCGTTATAAAATGACCTCCCAACAGTTCCGTTATAAAACGACCTCCCAACAGTTGCCCAGCATCACTTTTTTTGCCCTGGGCTTTCGCGTGGTCGCCTTAGTACTGCTGCTTGCGGCCTTTCTAGACGACTTCTCCTTTTTATCCTTTTTCTCTTTCTTTTCCTTTTTAACCTTTTTCTCCTTTTTCTCTTTCTTCTCCTTCTTCACCTTGTCATCCTTCCCCATTATGATACCAGTAGGACCCACAAAAAGCCTGACTTAGTCCCATCAACCGTCAACGACCGTACCACTCCACTCTCTCATTATACTCAACACTACTCATTTTGATGGTAGGGAAAATGTAATTAGACGGCCGGTTTTAGGAATATATCCATCCACGTGAGCGACCATCAGCATCAGAGTAGTTCTCTTCGTTATGGGAGGTAGTAATGCTGTAATGGGCATCAGAGAAGCCGATCTCAAATTTACCGGGATACGGTTTGTGGCGTGCGCTAACTACGCTTAGCGGAGCGAAGCGATGCAGCTTTCGCATTTTTATTTTTCCCTATGCTCGAACAAGGAAAAGAATAGTTCCCAACGCTGTTCTGACCAGTGCTGCAAAATATGTACTCGCTTTCCTCAGCTGAGCTCAATAGTTTCCTCACTAATCATAAGAGTTCATATACGAATCGAGAAAAAATACGAAAAGTGGACAGAAACCAACAGAATTTCTCTAAAATTTCCCCAGAGTTTAGATATTGTCACCAACACTTGTGGTTGATCATGTGCAGATTTTACCACACTGGGTCTGACGTTTTGAATCGTCAAACCTCCCATTCCCGATTATAATACTACTCGCAAGTTGAATAGACGATCATCCCGGGAGCGTGGAACTATGTAACGCTGAGAGAAGCTGAAGTAAGTGTCGAACATTCCAACGGATCACGTAACACAGACAGTATGACAGTACGCCGTGGAAACATAAGATCGTTCGGACGAACACTCGTAAGGCGATGAGAGACTAAGGTGGCATCGAGAGCAACATCAAAATGAACGGACACTTGCGAGAGCTCTGATAGTTCCGACAGTCGGTGTGGTGAGAGTGGGGAGAGGTGTGTTCATCAAAAGAAACGTGATAGCAATTCGAAAGCTGCGCGACAGGATACCATTACGGCACTGCACGGGTCGAACTTCTGACAGAACGCTGGACGGGAAGCAGGGCGAAGAGATCCTCAATTTCTCGCAAACGGTTGATGATATTGATGATGATAATGATGATGACGAGCTTGCCCGTCATGGACGAATGGGACCAGAGACCGCCATCCTTTCCTGTGATTGACATACCCGTCATCGTTGTTGTTGTTGATTATCTCGTGTTTTGCAGAGAGCAAATGCACGAAGCATGACGAAATGCCGATCCCTGTATCATCCACTAGTGCCGTGGAATCCGTCCCTCCCCACCAACAAAAAGATGTTTTGCTGCTGTTGTGGTATTCAACCCATTCCCCTACATAGTAACCCTTTGGCTAGTGTTATAAGACAGTGTTAACGAGATCTGTGGTATTCAAAGGAGATTAGTGTACGATACCACACTTGTACGAACATAACAATCACCATCCAACTTGGACACAAATTCGAGGTTGATTTTACTATGTCCGACTTACTGGACTTCCTACCACCTATTGATAGGGACTTCCACGTAAAGCGCTATCCTCGAGGCCAAGGGCCACTTAGGCATTCATCTGACGCTCTTGAGGCGTTGATGGAAGTAAAGTTGTCGCTAAGCTCTCCCGAGGAGTGAATGGAAGAGCTTCAGATCAAGGCTGTAAGGCAACTAAGGCACGTGCCCCTCTTGGCCAAGACGTCGAGGAGTCAACGGGGGAAGGGCGGCAGGGCAGGGGATAAGGAGGGAGATCAATACTTTCTACCTCTCACTAGTGTTGGTAGGAAGGCATCGCCACTTGGAGGGAATCACTACTGATGACTACAGGTCCACAGAACTTGGAGGATCTGCGACGATTGATAGATGAGCTGGAGAGAGCCGCTGAGGAGGATATGAGTTGTCGAAGGAGTGGTATGAGAATTAGTCCAATCTTTAATATCGTTATTGGTATATATTTATACTCTTAATCGAAGTGGCGATATGGAAGCCCGCGATATGCATTATCCAGATTTTACGGGACGCAACGTGCCGGATAAAAATCGAGTTTTCACCGTTGTCACCCAGCTGAAGACGTTCGCTCGTGAACAGGCAGCTGAAGCCACAGAACAGCGTCGACTAGCAAAAGAGTTAACATTAGAGGTGAAATACCTCCCGGGCTGGCCACGATGTGATTGTCGAATTTGCCGGCTATCAGATTGGGGAAGAGAGTCGTCGACTAACACAGCTGAATCAGAAGGCGGCTGGGGAGCAAACCATGGATGAGGTCAGCGAGAGACCAATTCTTTCAATGGGCAACTAGAGCGTTCCACTTTCTCAATGTGATAGGGTCCGACACCGAAAGTAGTGGATGAAGTCGAACAGGAAGAGCTAGAGCACCAAGAGAGAAAAAGGTTGCTATATTTCTGACATTTTCTGCCACTCGTGTGACAAAAAATACACAGATATCCGTCTATTGTTACTCCTCACGATTCGCTCTATCGAATGATACTGATAAATTCGGCGAGAATTTAATCCCAAAAAAAGACTCCCTTCAGACACCTGTGACTCGTGGTACCAATCAGATTGAGAGAGGCCAAAACCGCGATGAAGGCAAAAATAGCAGAGTTGTCGAAGAGGTTCTCCAACCACAATAATGCGCGGAAAGATGTACGCTTTCTTGAGAAGGAAGCTCGCAGGTCGATCTCGCGGGTAAGTAGACAAAACGCCTTATCGTCAATAACAAGGGTTGATGCAGGTGCTCCGTGGTATGTTGGGAAGCTGTGGAGGCAAGGACGGCAACACTGTGAGGCGGATCATCCGAGAGCTCCTCGAAATTGATGTGCCTGCCAACGAATGTACCTGTCCTTGTGAATGTCGTGGTGGTTTTCACTCACCCCCAGGCGTGAATCATATCAGCGAAGCTTGTGAGAAGACTATCCTTACTGAACCATGGATGTCAAATGTGAACATACTATCACTAATTGATACATAGAGAGCATCATATGTAGGCGCTTGTGAGCATAACAGCTTTGAAACTCCGAATCGAGAAGCTCGAACGAAGATTATTACGGCAAAAACGAAAGGGAGCTAACGCAGTGCATGAGGAAAGACAACGCCTCCTTATGAGGTCTACAGAGCCATCCAGAGAATCGTTCGATACCATAAGGCGATCTATTAACCGCTCCTCCTCATCATCAGTGATCACGACCAGTATGGAAGACTGGAGACGGACGACTTATCGGCTTGTACGCCACAACACACCCTCGGGGAGAACTCCATGGTCAGGTCAATGACATCAGACCGAGCAGCCTTATTGACGGCCTACGGCTCTCTTACCACGCCGTGACCAACAATGCTGACGATCCACCATCAGCATCGCCTTTATGGGCAAGTACTTTGGCAGTGCCTACTGGTGAGGCTGCAATAGGCAAACTACTGCTGTTACTTGTACGCTGATTAGAATTCCTTTCTGAGACGAAGGACGACGAGTCGGTACAGATTCCAATGAGCAAGTACCCCTTATAGCTACCCTCCTTCTGTAAGGGTGTGGTAGGTTCATGGGTGACGCTCGCGTCACCGAGGATCGTCTAGTCGAGATGAGGGACACTCTTGAAGAAGTGAAAAGCGTGTGCTGATTATCACAACATCGATGCTTCAGATTTTTCAGCAGATCGAGGATGTGATGCGACTTAGGATAGAATTCTACCAGTATTCGCACGATGAGAATGCACTGCAGAGAAGCGAGGTGAATTGTGGTATCGGATTCTCCGTAACCTCGCCTTTCAGGACGCACTAACATGGCTGGTTGGTAGCACACGTAGTCGCAGAGTGATGATGATGCTCCAAGGAGCTCCTTTGAAGTTTAGGTCGAAGGCCCCACTCGACTGTTGCTGATCCTAGTGCTGTTCTTCAGACTCTCTCAAAGCCCCAGCGTCAAGATTCGGGATAGACTTGAACGTTATCAATCCCGCCTGTAGGTTCACCACGGTCAATATTCCGAGTTGGAACACTGTGTTGTAGGTGGTTCGGTTATCAAAGTATGCAGAGCATACAGAGCCGCTACGATGGCGATGTCCTTGTACCATAACCTTTCCCTGTACGCGGCTGTTTCTTGAGTTTAGCGGTTGGTGGGCGCATATAGCTGGGAGTATATCGGAGAGTTCATACTGGTGAAAATCAAACAGTGTGATTCACTCGGAAACGTATTCGTACAGGGTTTGAAAAAGTAATAATAACATTAAATGTGTCAGAGTCATCGTGTGCTGCGCCATAGTGTACAAAAGTTGTTCGCAGTAGTTGATTCCTGACTTTCGAGTTGAAGACGCTGTAATGTGTTTCGCTGAGGCAGCACTGTTTCACACCATGGCCGTAACAATGTGATCGTACCTGTTGTTGGGCTTGTTGTTGTTCTCATCGCATTTCCACCAATTTCTGAGTACCTGGGAGAGTCTTCCGAATAACTCAACAATTAAAACCTGGAAGATGTGTACGAGTCAAAAAGCGCTGATAATGGTGACTCCCTCAATATAGCAACCACCAGCAGCCACTGACGGTCGCAGCCACTGCGGAGTTTCTTGCACTTTCCTCGGAAGAATCATTGCTATTGACATCTTCTGCGGTGATTACTAGTCTAGCCAAGTAGCGCGGTATGTCCTTGAGGCCCTCAACGCTTAGCAATTCAACTTGAGGAATTGCGAGAGTGCAAGATTCTTGTGCTTACTCACTTGACAATGTGTTGAGATCTTTTTCTTTTTACTTCTGGATCCACACTCGCGTATGAATGCCCCACTCCAATTACTTTCATTCCAGCTGGACACTTCTCATATGCACATGGTAGGACGTCTTTGTAGCACACGATAGCCGAGGGCGATTCGTTCTGGCCAACTTTGGCTCGCCCGACCGTTTCGGTCGCATTTCCGCTTTCGAGCGGCGGTCGTCGTGGAAGGCTTTGGAAAGTCTCTTTGCTGATCGGCTGCACTGACCGGTTCATCTTTGCTCAGAGGAGCCTGTTGTATGTGCATGATGGGTCACCCATACCTCAAGGAGGAGGATTATACCTGTATGGGTATGAGAGACTCTCCTCTCACTCTATTGAGAGAGGTTTGAGTGCCACCTCGTCGTTCGTATGTCCTTCCTGGACATACGTCACTTAGTATGTCGTTTTGATGTGTATCAGCCATGGATCGACCCTCGTGGAAGCTCACTCACCTTTTCCCGGAGCAAGACCGGGCCGCGTTCGAGATCCGTTCGTAGGAGTTCAGTAGATTCGCTCTGTAGTTTGTCCATTTTCAACGATTGGTTGGTAGAATATCATGTCATCTGCTCAAGTCGTCAGTACCGCCGACGTAACGTCGCTTGATGATGATTGCCGAGTGAAGGAAGATGTTTGCCAGAAGTCCGACTCTACAGAGATTGTTAAGGAAGACTCCTCAGTCTCGGAATCTTTCTACAGTGACTCCTCAGTCGATGTAAGTGCGCTGTTCTGTGTGGCTTCTCTTCATGTTTCGATCGTCTTCAGGAGGAAATCAAAAGGAAGCCTCTGTGTGATCACTTCAAGCGTGGAAAGTGCCGACTAGAGAATTCATGCAGGTGGGAAGTTGTTGCTGGTAACATTGTCGAGCTCGTGTGCCTTCAGATTCGCGCATAGCTTGAAAGAGCACAACGATCCCAGTTTAATCACCAAACGACGTGCTGAGGCTAAAGCCCAGCATAAGTTACTGAAGTTGCGCAATAGAGAGGCTGAGAAGAGTGACACTCAGCTCACTTCTGCTGGAGACACCGATGTAGGTCCTTCCCATCAACTTGGCGTTTTGAACCCTCTGGTCTTTCAGAGTATCTCATCATGTTCACCTCCGCCAAGCCCTCGATACTGTTCATTCTCTCGCGATGGTGTGAGCCCTCAGTTGTCTCCATATGGTCTACACAAACGGGCCTCGACTGGTTCACTGCCTGCTGTGGCTGTTGTAAGGAGATCATCGTGGAGACGTTTCCTAACTGTTGTTGCTCAGTCTTATTCGAACTGCTACGCCCCATACCCGGTCTACTACAGTCCTGTCTGTTATCCTTTACCATGTTACGTCAACACTCCCGGCGCCTACTATGTTGTCCAGCAATCTCAGTGGGAGGCAGTACGATCAAAAGTGATATGGCGAACGTGGTTCTACTGTTCTCGTTTCAGTCACCGTGTTATTCTGCTACTACTGAGATCTACGACCATCCGCAACAGCGAGATGTGGTTCCGCCAACTACCACCGGTGTGAGAAGGTCCGCCTCTTGCTCAATGGTGAGTCTCATAATGTGATGTGTCACCGTTTGATTGGCGCTGTTCAGGTCCAAACTCCGACTTTCCAGGGATCAAGGATGTACTCGGAGGAGCATTACGAGGAGTAGAGTTCCTACCTGTTGTCAGTTTTACCATGTATCCCCTCGCTGTTTCATTAGTCGTTTGCGTGGTTTCACCGCAGCAGACATCGTGTTCATTATATCTTCTTTGTAGATTTTTGGCGACGCTGGCTCTTGCCGCATTCGCTTAGGTCTTCTCAGTCGTTATCACTGCTCATCATGTGTCATTTGGCTATTTTGAACTGCTGGTGATGATTGTGTAGTTTTTTGGTGCTCAAGCGAACACGTAATTCTACTATGTACGATCTGTTGGGTCGGTGCTTTCCTGGTGACGCCTCCTTATGACTCTCTTGGTTTTTCGACGCTCTAACGGTCGTCCAACTAGACTCGATAATGACGTATTCATTTCTGGACATGTCATTGAGTAGCATCGATGATGCGTGGGTTGGCGTATGCTCACCCTTACAACGATCTGCTTGGGACACCTTACAGGATCCATTCTGATCAAGCGCCCTATGATGCTGTCTGAGACTTTTCCCTCCTGTTCGTCAAGGACCTTTTCTGTGTACTACTCCTCTACCGTCTTGTCTTGGTCCTTTATCTGTACGCATGCTGAGCGTAAGACCACTTGTCCGTGAGTCTCCATTCTCATTGTTATTCCTGTACTGTTCCCGTTAGGCCAACTCTTGTTATTCCTGGCCGTATACACGTATGAACAGCCAGATCGAGAAGTCACTAGTTAGTTTTGAGTTATCGTCAGATGGCTCGATTGTTGTGGGTTTTCCGCACGTGTCAATCTTTCCACTGTGTTTTTCGAGTATGTTACTTATTGGTAAGTTTCTCGCTCGGAGTTATCGACTGTTGAGTGGTTAATTCATGCCGACGAGTCATGGTAGAATGATTTTCGTTATCGATGCCTTCGTATTTCTCAGCTTCACGTTCACATTTTAAAGCTCTTATGGTAGCGAGGAATACCAATACGGTTGCCGCTCCGAATGGAACGGTTAAGAGGGTTCGCAAAGCGCCGGGAACTAATCCGTCAAAAATTTGCAAGGCCGAAGGTTGTTCACGCCAGGTAGATGAGCTCCGTATATCATCGTGTCGTTCAGCTGTTGGACAGGTTCGCGCTGCTGCCCGTTACTGCATCACACACGGAGGAGGCAATACCTGTGAGGTGAGACAGAGCAGCTGAGTATCTTCTCGTTCTGTACGAGATGCTTCTTTGTTCAGTATCCTGATTGCAAAACGTCCGCTCGTCATGGGAGCACATTCTGTATTGCACATGGTGGTGGTCGAAGGTGTCAAAAGCCGGGTTGCGCCAAGAGCGCTGTCGGCTCCACCAACTTCTGCAAGGCCCACGGTGGAGGCAGACGATGCACTTATCCTAATTGTTTCCGTGCTGCGCGTCCTGGGCAACCGCAGGCGTGCATGAAACACGGAGGGGGTAAAAGATGTGCTCTTCCAAGTAAGTGGGATTTTTCTGTCATATACCGGAGAGCTGTTTTGTCTCAGCATGTGATCGAAGTGCTGCAGCTCGCAGTAACTTCTGCGCAGAACATCTCTTCATTGATGGTACTGATCCGGCTGAGAAGAATAAACCAGGCGAGAAAGGAAAAGGCAAAGATGCAGAGAAGAAGAAGAAGCAAGAACATGCTATGGACGACGATATAGCCTGCAGAGATTTGCTCCGAGGAAGAAGGGAGCCCACTTTCTTCGCTACCAATATAACTGTGCCGCCTCTGAACGTCTTCCTTGACGACTTTCGTAATTACGAAGATTTGGGACCTCCTGTCCTTTTCACGGTTGACCAGTCAGACATGATATATAACACGTTTGACGACGAGGAGGAGAAGGAAGATCCTTTGAAGTAAGGGGTTGGGATAATCGTTTTATTGTTAAAAGCGCCGACATGCACCCATGCTTGCTAGTCTCGATAATAGTTCCTCTGCACTGCTATTCTTCATCAGGTCAACGATAGTAGACCCGTGGGGGGAAAAGATGGACCCTCTCTTCAAGCTCCTGATGAATGCTAAGCTATGAATAATTTAATGAATGCGATGACTTAGTCATCCTCGTGCGTGAGTACTGTTGTACTCCGCCAATGCATGCTATCATGCTGTTGTGCGTGACGATGTGATGCGCGATGTGCTTCCTTTTATTGGTTTGTGTTGCAAGTATGCCGCGAGCACTTGCAAACAACCTGGTGTCTACAAAAGGAGCAAAAAGGTCGCTAGTGGTTGTCTTGTCTATCGGAAACTTCGAGATGACTTGATACAACGACGCCATCACTGACTTATCAGTTCCTATTGGAACACATTTCTACTCTCATTTGAGAGAACACTGATGAACCTTGTACAATATGAGATGTAAAGAGATTATCGCCAAGAGCGAGTATTATTTATTATCGATGAAAAAGATGTTGATGCGGCATTCGGCCCACTCTCTACTGATGATCCATCCGTGATGAGGATGTGTAATTTGATATCTCATGAGTATGCAAACGTATGACAGGAAGATAACAAGTTTTGTTGTCAATGAGAGGGAACGTGGTGATGATAGTACTACTAGTAGTGAAGATAAGATGGTGGATTATTAAATGATGTTCAGTGAATGACAATGGTGAGTTCTCCGTATCCGTGAGTACGAGTAATGAGGAGTTGTGGAATATGTTTTCGAATGAGAGTTCTCCCGCAGGACGGTTTGACACGTGCCGCTGATTACCAGCAAGCAGATGAAACCTACAAAAGCAACAGCTGCTTCCCTGCTGGTGTAACGGTCCATGACATGGACTCCATGCTAGTTTATTAACTACAGTGGAAGTCCGAGATGTATGTTTTCTGGGTGCCGAGCCATGCTGAGCGCGAGCAGAATCGCAACGGTTATCTGTATTTAGCATGGAGAAAGCCGTCGTTGTGTCGTTGCCAACTATGGACCGCGGTTGGACGCCCCCTCATCCTCGTGCAAGGACCATAAATGCAGCTGTCACTGTTTACATCCCGATTGTGGAGTATCGGCCGGTCGGAAAGGGAAGGTTCGACAGTGTCAGTGAGCACGGAGGCGTGCAAGTGGTGCAAAGAACAGGAATGCGAGAGCGGCGACATGGAGTCAATACTGCGAGCAACAGCGCGAGCTTGCTGAGTAAACCTTGTTTTGCCAACTGCTCGTCCTAACAGGAGCTGCGAGCCTGGAGCTAAACGATGAATGGTTGGGACGGATAGTATCTATCAAGCAATGCATGCCTTCACCGTACATCTTCTGTATCACCTTGACTCAAGATTCTTGAGGTCTGCTATTTCCGACGGCTCTTCGTGCTACCGGCCGAGACTTCGAAAACAGACCACCACCGATAAATGATGGTTGGGATGAAATCTGACAATGATAAAAGCGCTGATACTGGTGACTCCCTCAATATAGCAACCACCAGCAGCCATTGACGGTCGCAGCCACTGTGGAGTTTCTTGCACTTTCCTCGGAAGAATCATTGTTATTGACATCTTCTGCGGTGATTACTAGTCTAGCCGAGTAGGTCGTTGAGGCCCTTAACGCTTAGCGATCTTGCGCTCTCGCGATTCCTCAACTCGAGGAATTGCGAGAGTGCAAGATTCTTGTGCTTACTCACTTGACAATGTGTTGAGATCTTTTTCTTTTTACTTCTGGATCTACGTATGAATGCCCCACTCCAATTACTTTCATTTCAGCTGGGCACTTCTCATCTGCCCATGGGAGGAGGTCTTTGCAGCACACGATAGCCGAGGCCCTCGGCCCGAGGGCGACTCGCCCTGGCCCACTTTGGCTCGCCCGACCGTTTCGGTCGTATTTCCGCTTTCAGTAGATTCGCTCTGCAGTTTGTTCACTTAACTATTGGTTGGTAGAATATCATGTCATCTGCTCAAGTCGTCAGTACCGCCGACGTAACGTCGCTTGATGATGATTGCCGAGTGAAGGAAGATGTTTGCCAGAAGTCCGACTCTACAGAGATTGTTAAGGAAGACTCCTCAGTCTCGGAATCTTTCTACAGCGACTCCTCAGTCGATGTAAGTGCGCTGTTCTGTGTGGCTTCTCTTCATGTTTCGATCGTCTTCAGGAGGAAATCAAAAGGAAGCCTCTGTGTGATCACTTCAAGCGTGGAAAGTGCCGACTAGAGAATTCATGCAGGTGGGAAGTTGTTGCTGTTAACATTGTCGAGCTCGTGTGCCTTCAGATTCGCGCATAGCTTGAAAGAGCACAACGATCCCAGTTTAATCACCAAACGACGTGCTGAAGCTAAAGCCCAGCAAAAGTTGCTGAAGCTGCGCAATAGAGAGGCTGAGAAGAGTGACACTCAGCTCACTTCTGCTGGAGACACCGATGTAGGTCCATCAGATGTCTATCAAATTGGCCGGTTAAACCCTCTGGTCTTTCAGAGTATCTCATCATGTTCACCTCCGCCAAGCCCTCGATACTGCTCATTCTCTCGCGATGGTGTGAGCCCTCAGTTGTCTCCATATGGTCTACATAAACGGGCCTCGACTGGTTCACTGCCTGCTGTGGCTGTTGTAAGGAGATTATCGTGGAAACGTTTCCTAACTGTTGTTGCTCAGTCTTATTCGAACTGCTACACCCCATACCCGGTCTACTACAGTCCTGTCTGTTATCCTTTACCATGTTACGTCAACACTCCTGGTGCCTACTATGTTGTCCAGCAATCTCAGTGGGAGGCAGTACGATCAAAAATAATATGGCGAACGTGGTTCTACTGGTCTCGTTTCAGTCACCGTGTTATTCTGCTACTACTGAGTACTACGACCATCCGCAACAGCGAGATGTGGTTCCGCCAACTACCACCGGTGTGAGAAGGTCTGCCTCTTGCTCAATGGTGAGTCTCATAATGTGATGCGTCACCGTTTGATTGGCGCTGTTCAGGTTCAAACTCCGACTTTCCAGGGATCAAGGATGTACTCGGAGGAGCATTACGAGGAGTAGAGTTCCTACCTGTTGTCAGTTTTATCATGTATCCCCTCACTGTTTCATTAGTCGTTTGCGTGGTTTCACCGCAGCAGACATCGTGTTCATTATATCTTCTTTGTAGATTTTCGGCGACGCTGGCTCTTGCCGCATTCGCTTAGGTCTTCTCAGTCGTTATCACTGCTCATTATGTGTCATTTGGCTATTTTGAACTGCTGGTGGTGATTGTGTAGTTTTTTGGTGATCAAGCGAACACGTAATTCTACTATGTACGATCTGTTGGGTCGGTGCTTTCCTGGTGACGCCTCCTTGTGACTCTCTTGGCTTTTCGACGCTCTAACGGTCGTCCAACTAGACTCGACTAGACTGACGTATTCATTTCTGGACATGTCACTGAGTAGCATCGATGATGCGTGGGTTGGCGTATGCTCGCCCTTACAACGATCTGCTTGCGACACCTTACAGGATCCATTTTGATCTAGCACCCTATGATGCTGTCCGAAAGACTTTTCCCTCCTGTTCGTCAAGGACCTTTTTTGTGTACTACTCCTCTACCGTCTTGTCTACGTCTTTTATCTGTACGTATGCTGAGCGTAAAACTACTTGTCCGTGAGTCTCCATTCTCATTGTTATTTCTGTACTGTTCCCGTTAGGCCAACTCTTGTTATTCCTGGCCGTATACACGTATGAACAGCCAGATCGAGAAGTCACTAGTTAGTTTTGAGTTATCGTCAGATGGCTCCATTGTTGTGGGTTTTCCGCACGTGTCAATCTTTCCACTGTGTTTTTCGAGTATGTTACTTATTGGTAAGTTTCTCGCTCGGAGTTATCAACTGTTGAGTGGTCAATTCATGCCGAAGAGTCATGGTAGAATGATTTTCGTTATCGATGCCTTCGTATTTCTCAGCTTCACGTTCACATTTCAAAGCTCTTATGGTAGCGAGGAATACCAATACGGTTGCCGCTCCGAATGGAACGGTTAAGAGGGTTCGCAAAGCGCCGGGGAGTAACCCGTCAAAGATTTGCAAGGCCGAAGGTTGTTCACGCCAGGTAGGTGAGCTTCGTATATCATCGTGTCGTTCAGCTGTTGGACAGGTTCGCGCTGCTGCCCGTTACTGCATCACACACGGAGGAGGCAATACCTGTGAGGTGAGACAGAGCAGCTGAGTATCTCTCCATTCCGTACGAGATGCTTCTTTGTTCAGTATCCTGATTGCAAAACGTCCGCTCGTCATGGGAGCACATTCTGTATTGCACATGGTGGTGGTCGAAGGTGTCAAAAGCCGGGTTGCGCCAAGAGCGCTGTCGGCTCCACCAACTTCTGCAAGGCCCACGGTGGAGGCAGACGATGCACTTATCCTAGTTGTTTCCGTGCTGCGCGTCCTGGGCAACCGCAGGCGTGCATGAAACACGGAGGGGGTAAAAGATGTGCTCTTCCAAGTAAGTGGGATTTTTCTGTCATATACCGGAGAGCTGTTTTGTCTCAGCATGTGATCGAAGTGCTGCAGCTCGCAGTAACTTCTGCGCAGAACATCTCTTCATTGATGGTACTGATCCGGCTGAGAAGAATAAACCAGGCGAGAAAGGAAAAGGCAAAGATGCAGAGAAGAAGAAGAAGCAAGAACATGCTATGGACGACGATATAGCCTGCAGAGATTTGCTCCGAGGAAGAAGGGAGCCCACTTTCTTCGCTACCAATATAACTGTGCCGCCTCTGAACGTCTTCCTTGACGACTTTCGTAATTACGAAGATTTGGGACCTCCTGTCCTTTTCACGGTTGACCAGTCAGACATGATATATAACACGTTTGACGACGAGGAGGAGAAGGAAGATCCTTTGAAGTAAGGGGTTGGGATAATCGTTTTATTGTTCAAAGCGCCTACATGCACCCATGCTTGCTAGTCTCCATAATAGTTCCTCTGCACTGCTATTCTTCATCAGGTCCACGATAGTAGACCCGTGGGGGGAAAAGATGGACCCTCTCTTCAAGTTCCTGATGAATGCTAAGCTATGAATAATTTAATGAATGCGATGACTTAGTCATCCTCGTGCGTGAGTACTGTTGTACTCCGCCAATGCATGCTATCATGCTGTTGTGCGTGACGATGTGATGCGCGATGTGCTTCCTTTTATTGGTTTGTGTTGCAAGTATGCCGCGAGCACTTGCAAACAACCTGGTGTCTACAAAAGGAGCAAAAAGGTCGCTAGTGGTTGTCTTGTCTATCGGAAACTTCGAGATGACTTGATACAACGACGCCATCACTGACTTATCAGTTCCTATTGGAACACATTTCTACTCTCATTTGAGAGAACACTGATGAACCTTGTACAATATGAGATGTAAAGAGATTATCGCCAAGAGCGAGTATTATTTATTATCGATGAAAAAGATGTTGATGCGGCATTCGGCCCACTCTCTACTGATGATCCATCCGTGATGAGGATGTGTAATTTGATATCTCATGAGTATGCAAACGTATGACAGGAAGATAACAAGTCGTGTTGCCAGTTATAGAAAGCGTGATGATTATGGTTGAGATAAGATGGTACATCCTAAAATGCTGTTGATTGAAAACGAATGATGATACATTCATAAAATGAATGGCCACGGTGACTCACCCTCGCTTAGTTTTCCGTATTTGGATGTAAGAGCAATGAGGAATTCGGGTATCTGCGTCGATTTCAACGGCCTGGAGAAAGGGAATTTGTGTCTTGAAAGTTCACTACACCTTATCCCGTGCAAGTTTGACAAGTGAACAGACGAGAATGATGGCCGTGAAATAGTGAGTGGTGTGAGAGTCTTAGAGTGAGACTCTCTTTTAGACACGATACGAGCTCCTCGATGTCTACACTCGTAGATTCGGCGCGTTATTGTACTCTAGGGATGACTGGTTGGGTTCACTCTTATCAGCGTGTACTGAACACAAACACACAGCACACTTGAACGGACTGCTGCAGTGCAGAGCCCCCGTAACTGGGCCATTGCTTGCCTCTCGAAACTATAGTGGTGGTAATAGTGCTAGTAGCAGTAACGATAAACAGTCAACTCCGCTGCTGGTCATTGTTGATGATGCTTCTCTCTCACCATCTCCATCATCTGCGTAACCCAATCAGAAGGGGCCACCATCAAGTCCAGAAAAGGTGCGCTGGCTCGAGGGTTGGGCGAGTCCACAGGAGCGGGGAAAAGCTCCCTCAATGGGTGGAAGCGGAAACTCGAGCTCTTGCCGATGCGCAGCAACAAGTCAGGTTTCAAGTACCCCTCTGAAAGATAACACACCGACTGCATGAGATCTACAGCATCGTGTTAACCTACGTTCAAACCATCTTCGCATAGCTTCCCGTGTGAAAGGCCCCTGAACAGTATCCGATAAGTCTTTATAGTACCAGCCACGCTCCGGAGCTGGGGCGAGCTTTGGACGTTGCGGACTCGGTGGGGGAGTAGCCACCATAGGAGCAGGAGGAGGAACCGGAGGAGTTGCCGCGGCCACCGGAGACAACCGTTTGGTGGTGGCGGTGGTGTTCGGCTCCAAGAGGGCTTCGGTGCCATTAGGGGACAACTCACCTCTAGCACTAGGATGCTTACCACCTGGATGATGCCCGTCAGAGGTACTATACTTAACCTAACCATGCCAACCTACTCTTTTTATCCGCTCTATCACCGCCATAGGCAGCGCGCTGTTCCGGAGTTAGATCCTCGAGATCAACCTCCCCTCTCAAAAGTGCACTAAACAGCCCTCTACGACGCTCCTCCTCAGCCGAGACCTCCTATAACCACCCAAATATACCCTACTCTTCACAAGCGTCTGTAGCATTACATCGTTCATGCTATCGTGACCACCGTTACTCTCGCTATCGTCTTGGGAACCCGGTTGAGGGGATCTGCGGAGCCGAGAACTTCAACCAAGCCTTGTACCGTAACTCTCTCACTTTCCTGGCGCACGATAAGCCTTCGAGGCCGCTGGAGCCGATGGCCCATCCAATGCCGTCGCTAGTGCTCGAGGAGAGCTCGGTACATCCTGAGACCAGAATAAGGCAAGTGTGCAACTAAACGTGATTACATGGAATGCAGCAGAAGGCTTCCATGATGCCGAGTAAAGCTCATTGAATTCATGACGACATATCAAACGGCCTAAGGGTGACACTATAGTGGGAGACCCGCGAGAGGCGACTACCATTATAGGAGTAGATATCAATCTTGTTATCAACCCGCATTCGAGGCCAGGTGGTGGCTGTCGAGAAGTGACGGCCATCAGGTGCCCACGTGCTTATCACTGGGCACTGAGAATTACTAATGCATGGCCACAACAGCAACGACGAGGAGGAGAAGGAGTTCACGTATATGTTCCTACTTCGGCCCGGAGACTCCCTACAACCTTGCATTCAGCCATATCCCAGAAGTCCATCTCGCCGGCCATATTACCAAACCCACCCACTACAGCGTATCGCCCATAACGGTTCCAACAAACCTAAGGTACTATTCTCAAAAAGGACCGGTCCAAGATAGGAGACCGCCTCATCTCCTTACAGTGTTGCGCTTAGTTTTACCCATACCATGTACAACATCAAGATGCCGTTGACCAGCCGAACCGTTCTCGGTGCCTCCCGAATCCGATGCACTGTCCTTTATACTAGCCGTACTCAGTAGGGTCGTCTCAGGAGGGATCGGACCGGCAATGAGGATGAACTCCTCCTCTGCCTCCTCAGTTTTACCTATTCCACATCTCCTTCACTACATAAATGCCTCTGGACTACCGATTTTCCCCTTCCTAGCGTTCCCTGGACACCATCCTATATCATGTATAGGGGACTTGCATGCGACCCTCGACACGACGTTATTGACCATGTCGAATAGATACAGCATGTTAGTGCCATAATACCTACCACATACAACCACATAGGTACTCCCAACGTACATCAGCTTACGTGCTCTTCCCGGCTTCGTCCACGTCCAAGCTGAGAAGGCCAAGAAGCTTAGTCCCCGAGGCATTCCAGTAGAGGGTAATGTCATCGCCCTCCGGGAAGCTGTATGACAAAACGAATTTCTGAGGATCGCTCAGCATCGAGACGTGAACCTGAACTCCCATCAGCCCTACTATCTTGTATATTACCAACCTACCGCTGGGCGCCTCTCCTTTCCTCTGGACACCACACAAGCCACCTTGGGCTCGCTCTCGACCTCTGCAACAAGACGATACAATCACACAAGCCGCAAAGTACCCACCACGCCCCGAAGGAGATAACTCGATCTGCTGTATACCCGGAATCGTCTGCTCGTTGGTTGTTGCTTTCGTCGAGTTCAATACTTGCAGCTGAAATAATATTACGACTAGGCCTCAGGGTGAGGAAATATGCACAGGTGTTAGTGGCAATGCGGAAATTGTGAGGAGATTACTGTTGGCCTCTGTACAGTTTCGCCCCAAATCGCGAGTAAATTTTAGTGGGGAAAATTCCGAGTTGAGCTGATGAGAGCGAACATATATCCCGCTACTTACAATATCAGCGTCGGGGAGTATCCGCACACAATAGGATTCATCATCAGTCCACTTCATTGCTGGCCATAGATGCTTATTCATCCTCTTCATGCGGCTCTCGACTGCTTTGCATCGACCCGCAACACTCCACAAGGCTAGATTCGGTAACTCACGCTTAGCGTCGTACCTCTCGAACGTAACCTAATCAATACCTTAGATGATCTCGAGCATCGCTCCGCTGCTACCATATAACTGGACAGAGGAGAAAAGTAAAAATATTTGAAGCCCTTGGAATTGGGCGTGGCCACCATAACGATATCTTTGTAGTCTTTGGTTACATCGTATACGGTAATGCCGTTCTCGTTGTTCATACAAGCACAGAGCGTGCCTAAAAACAACACGTGCGGGAATCGAACCCGAGACCTCACGGATGGTAGCCAGCAGTGTTACCATCTGCGTTCCAATGGAAACCTTCCGCATTGGTGACATGAGATCCCTCTAATGTTGTGAGCTTCTTCAGCGACTTATCGATGAGATCGAAGCGGTATATCTCAACGCCGTTCTTGCAGACCGCAGCGATATCCATTTTAGCAGTCCGGGTTCGATAAAACGCTCACAAAATTAACAAGGACTAACAGGAACAACGACCATACTCGCATGAATTTCAGAAATATACTCCCCCCCCCAGGAATCGAACCTGGGACCTTGAAAACTAACCTACTCCATCAACTCAACCAACACCATCAAAGCCAAGTAAATTGCCAATCCCTGCCATCATGAAAATACGCCGCCCGATATACTGGGTCCTCTGGTTACTACTGCAACAAGCCCAGTCTACCGCTATAGGGAGCTCATTGAGGCCAACCACATCGAGTGAAGCGGAAGCAACCAGCGTAAGACAAATTACGTGAAACACTATCGAGCTGGGAAATACAGAGAACAATATAAATACTGTTATTCACTGTAAGGATGGTGAGTGAAGGAATGTCGAGGAATCAACAACTACGGTGAACAAATTCCCCCACATATATTCATCGATCAAGAGCAGTCGAGCAGTAACATAACTGTGATCCTTTAGCTGTAGTAACCGAACCCTCTCCATTGAAAAGGCGTAGTACGACTACACTACCTCGGCCCAGCATCACCACAACAGTCGTAGGAAGGACGCCGACTTCCCCTCTGCATAGACCGAACTGAGCTCTCCAGCACTTGGCTCGGTTCTTACTAACCAGCTGGGTATGTCTCAACCTTTCCATCATAAACTAACCAGCATACCACTCGCAGTACAGAGGAGCACCATATAGCCACCATCATTGAGATCACTATGAACGACAATACACCAGTATTCGGCAATGTACTGAAACAAGGCTTGAAGAGCTCACTTAGCCGCTGTTTTCTTAGCAGCAGCTTCTTTTCTGTTCTTCTCAAGAATCGCTGCTTTTTCCGCAGCCTTGGCCTTCTCGATTTCCTCTATCTCGATCCAATCCTGTTTGTCCTACCATAAAAATCTTACATACCATCCCCCCACCAAATCACACCCTCACCTCAGCCTCAAGGTCCCTGCCATCCGTAATATATTCCTCAACATAGCCAACTACAGGGTATCTGAAAGCAAGCACTATAGGGATCATCGAGGAACCTATAATGTTCCCTGATGGAGCTCATTTTGAATTTTCCACGTATGGCTAGGAACACATTCTTCAATCAGTTTCCCACGTGAATGTATAAGGAACATTTCCCCCATAAGGACATTTCTCAGAGGTAAATAGATCCCCGCTGGGCCCAAGTACTTGTCATGGAAATGCTTAACCCAAGAGAGCAGGGCTTTCCTATACTGCGGCTTCTCCTTCTGGATCGCATCCCAATCTGTGCGATTGGCATCTTCGGCCTTCAACGAGAGCAGGCACATGGACACGGTGCAATCCTGATGGAAAAACCGTAAAATAGCTTCTCCATATCATCATCGCCATCCTACCTTGCCAGCCCAGATCTTGGCATAATGCTCGCCAGGGACACCCAGCATAGGGCTCTTGGTGACATCATAAACCTTCCCCTTCAGGCCCATGTACATTTTTTTATCATCATTATTACGACCATCAAAGCGCTGCAATGCGGCTATGGAATATACCAGTCGGCCTTGGGAGTCCTTATAGGGTTCGGGAATAGCAACGGGAGTTTGCTCCCGAGTAAGGTACCTACGGAAATTCAAATTACTATGTTCATTTGTCGAAACAAAATTATATACAAAATCGAACATGGTAGTCCATACGCCTACTACCACTACGCTACTCACACTTCCAGCCTGCTCTGTATAGGGAGCTCGACCGCTAAGGCAAGGTGAAAAATTTTCCGGAAAAATTCCAAAGAGACGTGAAAAAAAGGTGCGAGAAGAGCCTTGTACGTTTCTCCCATATATTACCACACAAGTACTGCACCAAATACGCTTACAAAGGCTATCCAGTATGGTAGAGAGGAACTGTAGTAAAGCATGGTAGAATAGAAACAACGCTGACTGTATACACTCCGAAGTTAAAAATCTTGCTAATCTTGCTCATCTTGCATTTCCTCAGCGGTTAAAATCGACAGTCGGACCATATTATATCTACTACGGGTAATCGGTCTAGCTCAAACGTGTCTAAGGCGGCGTTACATTGTTTCTCAGATGTAAAACAGAAATCTATTTTTCTGTTTTTGCATTGGGACCCAATTTTTTGCACATTGTCATCGTCAAGGATTGGGGGCTAGTGCGGCTTTTTCCCATACCCACAACTTTTCATCTGGCTCGGTTTCTAATACATCTTAGCGGTACTCTCAGTAGCGAACACCCGCGTTGACAGCTTCCATTGCAGAGAGATTGACCTTACCTTTATTCGATCATGTCAGGAGGGCATCTGTCCAAGGATTTTTTCGAGCTCATAAAGGCCATCGGGGAGAGCAAGTAAAAGCTCCATTTTAAGTACGTTGACCAACGGTGGTGTCTCAGGTCGAAGCAGGAAGAGGACAAAATTATACAAGGAGAAGTTCAAGTGTTAAAGCGAAAACTCTTGGAGCCTAATATTCCTTCCAAAAAAATGAAGGAGTAACTTCTTGAATTTTCTTTCCCTTCTGGGGTCCACCGAATCGGCTAGGTATATGATAAGAGCTGTTTATGTGGAAATGCTCGGTCACGATGCTTCTTTTGCCTACATACACGCTGTCAAGTTGGCTCAGGATAAGGTAGGGAGATGGTCGCTTACTGAGCTCAGTACTAGTGTTGGAATATATTTTCGCTCTCCTCAGCTGAGCTCGGGAAATCGTACAAGTTTGCATACGAAATAGTGTAAAAGTGGACTGAAACTCGCAAGAATTTGCCAAAAATTTCCCCTATATTTTTATATGGTCGCCGAATGTGCGTATTTTCCCACCCACACTGTTTAGAACGTATACAGTAAGAAAGTTGGGTACATGGCTTCGTCCCTGTTCCTCAATGGTGATGACGAGTTGATGCTATTGTTGATCAACACCATGCAGCGGGACCTCGGCAGTAGGTCGATACATAGAACTTCACCATGTGGAGTATTTCTCATTGTGAAAGGTTCCAACTTCCTAGAGACCTGTGCAGCTCTGTCGGCCGTCACGCAGCTGGTGAACGCTGAGATGATCCCAGCGATATTGCCTTTGGTTACCAAACTTCTTACACATTCCCAAGATGCTGTGCGGAAGAAGGCCATCATCTGTACACACAGTTCACTCTAGAGCTTCATTGGATTAGCACCTTGTCAGGTATTCAACACTTCTTCAGACTGTCGCCGGACTCTGTAGTTGATGATGTCCAGCAGGATGTGCGTAGAGCTCTGTGCGACCCTGATCCGGCAGTTATGGGAGCTAGTTTGAATCTGCTAAGGGACATCATTCGCAGTGATCCTGACTCCTGCAAGGACTTGGTAGTAATGTTCAATGCCATTCAAAGGCAGATTTAGGATGTTCAGGTACCCTCGCTGGTGAATATTTTGAAGCAAATAATCGAGCATAGACTACCGAGAGATTTTGACTACCATCGTATGCCGGCGCCTTGGCTGCAAGTTAATTTGGTGAATCTTATGGGAATGCTGGGAGAAGGAGATCAAGGTAAGTGGTTAATGCTGATATCTATCTAGCTGATATCTAGCCGAGAAATTTGGTGTAGTGGTTGACATCGGTGTTGTCTCATCTAAGCACCCTGGTTCAATTCCTGCATGGATTACTTGCATTGTATGCTCCTCTTAGATGTAAGTGCCCAAGTATACGACATAATACAGGAGACCATGCGCCGTGCCGACACCGGTGTCAACGCTGGGTATAGTGTTGTCTACGAGTGCGTCAAATGCGCTGCCAAGCTGTACCCCAGCCACACCCTTCTAGAACAGAGTGCTGCCTCAATATCAAAGTTCCTACAGAGTGACAGTCACAACCTCAAGTATCTTGGAGTTACCGGACTGGCGATGATCGTGAGATGTGATCACACAACGGATGGCCGACTTGTCCTCTTTCGCAGATCAAAGTGAACCCGGACTATGCGAGGGAGCATCAGCTGAAGGTTGTGGAATGCCTGGAGGACCCTGACGAAACTCTCAAGAGGCGTAGTGTAGGGAATAGTATACTTTTGAGGCTTGTTGGAGTCGTAGGAGATCGATATAGTTCCGAGGGGTTTCTATTACAACTATTTCCGGATTATGATTAGAGGAGAATTTCCAAGTGTTTCTATAATTATTTTCATTCGGATTATCCTATAGAGGATAGTAGATTGTTGAACGTGTGTGTCGATGTGAAGGTACATTGGATCTGCTATACCGCATGGCCAACACAGCTAACGTCATTGTGGTGTGTGCTAAGATGCTGCAAAACCTCCGATGCTCCCATGATGTCCATCTACGCAGAGATCTGGTAAGGACGTGAGTAGTAGTGCTCATAGGCTCATGCTGCTCAGCTGTCATTCGTGTTAATCCAGGATTATCACTCAGGTCCGGAAAGTTGGCTCCTTAGCAGACAGATATTCACCATCGAATCAATGGTATGCCGAGACCATCAATCAGGTGTTCAAGTTGGCCCCTTCCTTGGTGCCTCCTTCCATGCCCAACTCCCTTATGCGTTTGGTTGCAGAGAGTGGCGAGGACGACCCTGAGTTTAGAGTGTAGGTCATCGCTCTTATGATCGTGTCGATCGTGATTGACACCAACACGTCCGGAAAATATGCACATAGTCCTCTATATGAGGGAATTCTTGTTGGTTTCGGCATCAACTCGTGTGTGAATTTTCATGTGGTGGTGGAGCAACTCCTGCACGCAGCTGAGGGGAGCCGACGTATCTTCTTTCAGATGGGCCGTTAACACCTACGTGAAGATGCTTGCTGATAATTCTGACAGTTTGCCAGATGTCCTAGTGAGGGTCGCGGCTTGGGTACTACAGAGAACTTGAGTGACACTTTCATAAACAAGGTCGTGTAGGTGTTGGGCGAATACGGTTGTATGTGCACATTGAGCGGTTACACCACTGATGACATCGTCGACATTCTGGTGAGCCAAGCAGTGGATCGGCCTACGTTCACCGAGGTAGGTTATTGAGCCACAGGGTCATGGTGATGGGGCGTTCTCACTGGCAGGCCAGAGTCACTCGAGGTTATCTCTTCTCGGCCATGATGAAGTTACTCAGTCAGGAGCAACAGCAAACTGCCTCGACGCCCTCTGTGGACACAGTAGGATGCTGGCTTCGGTCTGACCCCAGTGGGCCTATTTCCAGTTGTAGGTGCGGCGAGCTCTACGGAAGTACAGTACCGACCCGGACATGTACCAGAGGAGTCTCGAGTAGTGGTCTTAGTTGAAGAATATGCTATTGCTTATAGTAGGGTTTAGGTACCTCAGAATTCTCGACGGCTCGCCGGACCTGCTGCCGTCGGCCTTCCCCTACGACGAGACCAACTACGAGCAATCCGACTCCCTAATCGACATATCTTTATCATTTCTCGACGGTGTGGTAGATAGAGCTATAATGGAGGGGATGAAAGAGTGAGCCCTGGTGTGAAGCTGTGGGTGTATGTAGCTGCCTTTGTGAAGATACGATCGGCCTAGTGCTATGGCCTATGCTGTCGAGGCATCGGCGTCGTCCTCGTATGAAGAGCGTCATCGTGCTCTCTCTGGTCTCAACTTCACGCCTTATAGCGCACCAACCATGCCGTCCCAAGGGGCAGTGTCTCAGCCTAGTAGTAGTAGTACCACAGTAGGAGGAGGAGGACAGACAGCGCAGTCTAGCTCGGAAGCGTGGCGAGACTCCCCTATGGTAATGGAATGTAGATCTTCACAATGGTGTGGTATCAAAAATGTCGTGCTACTCTCAGAATGACCCGCCAGTGTCAAGTCCTTACCAGTCCGGTTCTGCGCAGCCCCCGGCCCCAGCAGGTGGTCTTCGAGTGAATGCCCCGAAGAAGTGGGGCCCTCAAGGCTTCAATGCTCGAAAACCCGCGGAGGCCGCCGCCTCCGTCGTCGCCGCCCCAGCAGCAGCATCATCGACTTTCCAACAGCCGAGTACTACCGCCTCGAGGGGCCCTCTCAAAAGACTTGGTGTGACATCAGGTTCCGCGCCTCCTTCAAGGACACCGCCTGCCCTGGCTACTGTCTCTACTCATCCTACTCCGGATGAGCTACGCCGTAGGGCAGCTCAAGAGAAGATGGCTGGCGCGTTGTTTGCTGGTATTGGTACTAATGATGGTAGTACTAATACGGCTGCACGGCGGCAACCGATAGCTGGGCCGAGATCACTGTAGGCTGATGCGGACCGATCGCTTTCTATATGTGATGTTGTCAGGGTTGGCCAGCCAGGCTATTCTCGGCCTAAGGCTGGGTCGGTAGCAGATGGGAAGTCGGCAGCACCCAGGGCGCCTCCACCGCCGCCCACTGAGGCTGTTGACTTATTGGACTTGTTCGGATCACCTACTGCAGAGGAGTCTCATCGAGTGTCTACTGAGGGTAGGTGGCCACTTCTAGTTCAGGCGAGTTGGACTCGAGTTTTCTTTCAGCAGAGGCTGTGGCAATGCCCGTGCCCCCCACTACCTCGTCGTTGGATATTTTATCGTCCAACGATGAAGATATGCTAGGGAGTGCAGCCCCTTCATCGGCTCCTTCTCTGTTACCTGTTCACCGTAGTGTTCAGCAGCCTTCAAAGCAGAAGGTAGTATCGAGAGCGGCTCAGTAGTTGTCTTGGGGAGTACTCCGGTGGTTTAGTTTGATCTGTTGGAGCAGTCCCCGGGCTCGTATGGTCCCATCGAGGCCCAACAGCCCCAGGTGGAGGAAGAGGAGGAGGTGAAGTTGAGGCCTCTGGATATCACTACTGAGCAGTTGGGTGGAGAGTGGCAGAAGCTTCAGGACTCATGCGAGATACAGTTGTCATTCTCCCACGTGAGACTAGCTTCGCTCCGCTGTTGTGGAAGTTATTTTTCCCTAGGTACCGGAAGTGTCCAGCCGATTGACAGACGACGTCGGCTTCCATCTGGTTGAAGTCATTGGCGATGAGAGGATCTTTGCTGCTACAACGCCTTCTGGGGAGATGGTCTTCGCCCACTGTAAGGTTGTCGGCACTGGTCAGTTCACCGTTATGGAAATTTCAGGTCGGGAAAGTGCCCTGCAGTCGGACTTAATTTTAGTAGCTTCATCGTCGGCAGCCGGGTGCTTAGCTCAAGAGCTCATCGAGAGGGCCACGGCTGAATAGATGTACTGTGTTTATTGATAAGGTTTCCTGATACGATGAAGTATTGGTGTGGTACGAGTTCTAAGGGGTGATCTATGTTCGGTTATTTAGGCTTGCTATTCCCTGCGATCATCATATCGCACGCTTGGTATGTTGAGGTCTGCTCATGCTGATCGCTCATCATCGTCATTACTATTCTCCCGCTATCCCGCATCTATTGGCCTCATTTCTCCTTCTTCCTCGGAGTCGGTTTCGACAGCCAGGGTGGCTGCCAGCATTCAGACAAATGACAATGGTTGTTGCCTCGAGAACAGCAGTAGCAGTGGTAATAGTCCTACCGCTGGGATGGCCGTGCTGGGCCCAGATATAAGAGGTGATGCTGGTATACGCAAGCTGGCGTCGTCGCTCACGAAGTTGCCCTTGGGGGAAAATGGACGTATGCGAGTGAGGCGTATGATTGGGCAGCTAGGAGTCAATAGGCTCGTGTTGTGTTGATGATGTCAGTGCTGCTTGTGTTCTTAGGAAATGCGTAAACACCCAGAGTTGAGGCCGATAGTTCGATCCATGGGGAAATTGAAGAGTGCGAGTAATTCGTCTCTCATTGAGATGTGTATTCTCACCAACACTCTGGATGAGGCCAGGATGATATCTCGGGAGTATTTAGCTCGGAAGACTGGCAGGCCGAACAAAAGGGCATCTTCTGTGGCTGATTTGGCTTCCCCCTATAGTCGAACATCCGAGGCCAAAAACTGTGGGCTTACTCTGATCGAACGTTTGTTTGCTGATACACTGTCCCATGGGGCTTGCGAAGAGGCTGCGGAAGATCTGTGTTCCTCCTCATCCCCCTCTCCTTTGAATGATGAGAGCAGCACTGCCACCACTGGCTGTACTACAGCTGCCTCTACTACCACTGATTCTAGTGTCTCGTGTGGTACTAGTATAGTGCTGCTGCCTGAAGACTCCTTTCATCATGGAGTTGATCAAAGCTCGTTGTCGAGACTGTCGTCATCCTATACCCCGTTAGTAAGTGTGGACAATTCCGACATTCCCTCGTCGACTGAGTTATTGTCTACCAACGGTAGTAGTAGTAGTGGCGATAACAACAACATTGAGGATCTCCCTCATCCTATTGCCCCTACTGAACTCAACCCCTATCAAGACCGGCAAAAGCAGAAGCTGAAGCCCGGAAGTGATCAACCGGCCTCCCCGCCTTGAAGATGATAAGAGTATAAAGTTATCTAAATGCAGTATGAAAGTGTATCTCCTGTGTTCCTCTCGAGCAGCCTCTATCGCTTGCGTTGTTATAGTAACGGTTGGGGCGATTGGGCTAGATAAATATCTTCTCGTAGTGTGTGTGGATCTATGCGGGTACTACGGGTGCGGCTAAATGTCCAATCAAGGGGAGGTCGGGTGTCCGAGAGTGTCCAGTCTTGAATCATCGTTTCCAGCCTCTGTTTTTCAGCACAACGATAGTTGTAGTCGATAGGATTCTGAACCAGAGTTCTCATTGTAGGTCTCATCCGTAGGATTCCCCTTTAGCATCCACAATGGCGCATAGTGATGCTCTTACACAACTTAGAGATATCCAGCAACGCTTGAGCACTTGCATAGCTATTCCCACGGCTGATGCAGTACCATCATATCTCCATCTTCCAGCGACCAGATGGCATAACAAACTCGTCGTATTGCTTGGAGTAGTGTTTCTATGTGGCTGCTATCCTCTGGGAGCAGGAGTTCATCCGCATCCCACTCCTTTGCATCCATTTCCGCCTTCTTCTGACACTTGTGAACCATTTATGCTCGAAGGCAATAATCGAATTGAGCTCAGAAGGATGCCCTACCTACTGCACCCTTACCACAGCTGGCAGCGACACAACGACGATCACCTCCATGCTTAGTGCAATGCAGAAAACTATTGCGAGCACTCTGCGCTATTGCGTTGCCAGCACGCTGCAGGGATCGGCACTCAGCAAACATACACCTCAGATCAGTCAGTAATGTAAAACAGCGCGAACCCGCCCCCCACACAATCAGGCACAATACACGTTACGCCCGCAGAGAAGTAACAGGAGTTTTTGTATGTAGCATGCCTGCTCCTGTCGCCGCTTAACAGTGGCATGTGTCAAATGATCCTGAAGACGCATTCCAATTCGAACGTTTTACGCATGTCTGCCGCACAAGAGCCTCAGAATAGTGTCCTCTCATGCAGCGGACGCTTGGGGAGAATATCTGGGCGTGCGCTACTTGCGCCGGAAAAGGCTGAGTGCTAGGACTGTCCTTGCACTATTTCTTCGATGTTGCTAGGACTTGCAGAAGATACGTATCGCCCATCGGCAGCCGATGGTCGGCTTCTCCGACAACTCAGTCGATACGAGCCGTTTGCAATCAGTAGCGCTACCGATCAGGTAAAGTGTAATTCTCTTATCAAGTTACTTGTTTTCCCCTTACCGTATGCTACCATCACTCTCCACTACACTAGGACGGTCACTTTTCCGACCTCTAGCCGTCCGAGCTTCTTCACGATTCTTGCCTCCAGCAGTAGCGCAGTCCCAACGATGGTTCGCGGAAGCAGCGGCGGCGTCATTCAAAGCTGCAGTGTCGGAGAACGGGAACGTCACGTTGCAGCCCGCTGGCGTTGAGGTAGCCTCTCCTGCATAACAGATTGTGATACCACAAACGCTTCTCTCAGCACATAATCGATGTTAGCAAAAAGCGTAATATCCCTTTAGCGCTCCGACTCACTGTCGATTCCGGCGGATGCGGCGGCTTCCAGTACGTGGTGCTTTCTTCCCGGATTGTATGAGACCGTCCACCTAGGTACTACTTCGATCTCGTCCCTGTCGACACGGCTACTTCAACAGACAATAAGGTAGAGGCGGACGATGGATCTGTCGTGATGCTAGTAGATGCACTGGTAATACCCGAGGGGAGAATGCCCTGTTTGGTGGTGCCCTCGTGTTGTCTTTGCATGGTTGCGTTTTCAGTCCGAGTCCTACCTTGATCATTGCAAAGTCGACTATGTTGAGGAGATGATTGGTTCCAAGTTTGTGGTAGTATATAGTCTTTTTTGGATATGGTTTTTCTGCGATCTCATATTTGGTTTCTTAGGTCAGCGAGAACGTCTTGGCCGAATCCAAGTGCTCTTGTGGTTCGAGCTTCAATGTCGGCTTCTGAAAGGCGTTCGTCCATTCAGCTGTTGACCGCACTTCTGTTGTATTACTATCGAGCGTATCATTCAGTGCACCAATTTTTACACTTTGCCGAGCTGGAGAATCTTCAAAAGCGCTTTGAGTTGAAGATGAGTGTAATTAACAAGTGACGATGAGAGCCTGCTGAGTAACCTCTCGCCTTCCAACCCAAGTTGGGTTACCCAACAGCCGACATAGCAGCCGAGCATAGGCCTTACATCTCGTGTTTGCACTGGGAGCAGGCTTGATTATCTCCCTCGACGTATACACATTCCGGAGATTCATATATTTTTTGCTTGTTATGATCATCTGGTGGCTCAACTGTGCAAGACGCTAAATGCACACGATACATTCCAAGCAAAACACCCAGAGGCTGAAGTTCCGTCGGTTGGGTTAAACTTTGGTGCGGATGAGTAGCCGTTCAGGCTGATGACTTCAGCCTGCCTAATTTCACGAAATTGACAGACGTCGAATGCCCGGTTCGAATATTTGATCCGTCGTAGATCGTCCCCACGCTGCTGTGACCATCTTCTTGATCGCCATCAGTATCTCTCTGAGTTACCAGTAGCTTACAAAGCCGCCTGGCCTGACCTCATAGCCGAGACATAATCAGTAGTTACCATCTCTCCTTGGTGCAGTAGTCGCATGCTTTTGTTCGTGCGAACCCCACGTCACACTGTAGTTCATATGCCTTGCGACTCTACACTGTAACCTCTAGAACTGAGAAGGTCACATTGTCCTATTCCACGGAGAGTTTTGCCTGCGTCGTGATGCAATCCGAAAACTACTTATTCGTCCAACGGCAAAGTGCTCCTCTACATAACGGCAATTTGCACAACCATAGAACGGGCGATTTGCCGTTTGTATGATCAAACTCGCTTAATTTCGATGTATATTACTACTTTACATAGTAACCACCTTTACAGTTTCCTAAACTACAAATGAGCAAACGCTAGCCATCCAGGCTTACATAGTTATGAAGTGAACTTTGGGCTTTGCTTTTTTGGACATCAGCCACTGTGTTCTTTCTCATCAGCACAACAGCATGCGTAGCAGGGAGTGTACCTTCCGGAAAATTGCAGTTCCTTGTTTTTTCGTGATGCGATGCTTGGCAACTGGGAGGAGCTCTCAATTCCCCACCACGGGGTTCGTTCGCCCTTCGTCCTTCCTCATCAACTGAGACACATTTGAGAATGCGCCTTGGCAGAATATTATCAGAAACCCATTTTCGCGCACACAGCCAATTGTCCCCTCGTGATCATCGAAGCTAGACCATTGTGCGACAATGTCCTGCTTTGTCCCCTCTCGCTTTCCAGACTACAGAAAACTGAGAATCTGGCGGGTGAGTTGATTCCGCTTGCAGGGTTGAAGCGGTGGAACGATTATCGTCCCTCGAGGTAATCGCTTCGATAAGCGGAAGTGGTTGTCGCAAAATTCAGCGTGGTTAATTGCCGCCGCTCTGGAGTTGTTTCTGTTCCTCATGTTTCGTCTCCTGATCTGCACCGCCCTGGCCGTCATAACCGTCCGAAGTAGGACAGTTCTGGAGGGTGTGAATGAAAGGTTCATGAACGGTCATGACACCGATGACCTGACGGCCGCTGGAATCATTCTTCACCATTTCAGCCATGCTCATGCTGTAGCGGTCGGAGAACCCTGGAGACCCTATACAGCCGAGGAGTGCGCGGAGCACGATTACGACGGTTGTGATACGACCGGAGATCGTGCTTGTACTCTCATCATCAATAACCAGACAAGGAATGACGATGATGGGAGTATTCCAGTCTACTCGACTGCTGTCGGTGGTATAATTTTCAACCCGCAGAAATCGACGATGATGTGCGCATACTCACAGGATGGCGGTACCGATGACCGTTATAATCGTGGTTGTGGATGCCACCATGGTGATACTGCCTGTGAGCAACGTCACACGAACAATTCCTGTGTCCTCGATGCCAAGGCCGGTGTTGAAGACTACGACGTTTGCTGGTGGGGACCTAATGATTTGAAGCAGATGCTGGAACGTCAACAGGGTGTCTACAACGAAGTGGTTCTCGACACGACGCCGTGGCTCAACAATCTCCCCGGCAGCATCGAGGCATTCTTCTACGTCAAGGATGCGGAGAAGCTTAATGACACCGTCGATGCATACCACACTTTCCGCAATTCTTATCCTGATGCGTGTGTCCCCTTGTTGGAAATGGATATTCACGCAAACGAATCTCCCTTCTCATACAGCTCTCATGTCAACGACGGTAAGACCCAGTGTAAGTCCACTGTTGAGTACCAATCACCTTCTGGAGAGGATTCATCTCCCCCGAGTGACACTACGAAGGTACCATCTTCAGCTGACAATATCCGTACATCTTTACCTCTTGTTGTGATTGCCAGTATTATAAGTACACTGTTGTATTAATCGATTGTTACTGTTCCTTTACTTTCCACTTTCTTACGATTCACTTCACCAAGTTCTGACGAGCCCGTTGAGGGCTGTGTCGAGGTAGCCTCGTAAGCGGATGTGATGGCTCCCTGCTTCAGCCAAGACCTTCTCATCCTAACTGCCCACAATATTGTGTTGCAGTGCGATTTCGAGTCGGCCATTGCGCCTGTAAGTTAATCATGATTACAAAGCACGGCCGTGATGAAGCATCCAATCGTAGAACATGTTACAATAGCGTTAGTACAGCTACGTGCAGCCAACGACTCGGCGTTCATAGGGAGTTAACTCAACAACGGTCGGCGTAGAAACATAAGTCCTTTCGAACGAGACTCTCGTTAGACTTCTGTCAGCCATTCAATCTGCTGTCGTTTGCGGCTCCTGATCAGTACGAGTAGACTCTTATCCGCATCCTCTCCTCTAGACGGGCTTGTCTGATGGCAACGGCGTGACACGACGGTCGTGTACAGCTGCACGCACCTGTGAAGGAATGCTAGGCGCCTTCCAACAAAGTAGAGGTAGACGGTCTCGACGAAGCGTGTAACCGAATGATCCAACCTATTCCTATTTCTTTCAAATCCATTATGGATTATCCATAGCGTGAGCAGCTAACAGTGTGCTAGTCGGCAATCCTATCAGACACCTAGGTAGTGAGCCCCTTTATGAAATAGGACATACTCGAAATGACATATCTGGGAATCGAACCCACACCCTGTTTACGTGATGAGAAAAATCAGATATCACAAATCAGATATCACCGGTCCGAATCGGACCGTCCGATGGTGGTTACCCGGACTATACTACATTGTAGTACAGATTGGAGCTTTCCCCGAATTGACATACGCGAAAGCAACACATTGTCTGATACGGAAAATTGTGATGAAAGTTGCAATTAAAAAACCCGTTCATAAGCTCATTGAGACGAGCAAAATCGAGGTCCCCTTCAACAGGACGTGTTCGCCGAAGAGCATCCTCCCGCTCAGCTGTCGCCGAGCTGGAAGGAGCCCTCTCCAACGATAGAATGCTTTGAGAGTGGCGAAGATAATCTCCGCCACACCCCAATCTAAAACTACCAGTCGTATGATGCGACAAAAATTTTGTTCGTTGAGTCATGAGAGTCATGAGACGTCATGCGTGGCAGCCTCGAATATATTCGCACTACCACTCCCATTTAGCGCGCGGGCCTCCCCAGAGTACAAGTAATACCAGCCACTCTCACGCACACTGGACCAGCCGACATACACGCGGCTGCGGTATCCTGTATCAACACTAAAGTCAAAGATTGGCTTAGGCTTCTTGTCGTCATAGGAGTCAGCCAGGAAATCGACAAGCTCTGAGCGCACAGCTCACAATCCATCAATACATGGCACGGCTCGATCCAATACCAAGGTGCCACGGTCCTGCCTGTTAGATGTCGGCTGCCCTGGAGATTAGCAACACGACTGACTAGGGGATGATGGTCAATGGGCCGAGGGCCGGCTGTAAGGCATATCATGTACGGCAACTTGGACAGGTACACTTTACTGACATCCTGTATCATGTCCTGAAGGTGATCGATGTGTTCTACCTGCCGCTCCCCTTCATGATCGCTTAGCGCGACAAAAACGCTCGGATGGCGCTCACCATCGACTTCTATTCCAACATCACTTACCGACCAGAGGGCGGCCGACAGAGCTATTTTGTTACAAAATAGCTCTGTCGACAGCATTACGACTGAAAACAACCGAGTCGCCGTCTCGGGCGAGATAATAAACAACATCGAAGATCCTGACAACCACAGAAATGGAGCCGCGCTCCTCTTCCTCCTCAAACTCAAAAGAGAGGTTTCCCGGCAACCTTCGATGAAGCATCGACGATGCTTCAAGATGGCATCCACCCTTCTGTTCTTTCTGAGCAGGGCCACAACCAAAGTGGGGTCACTCAAGTTGTAGAGATAGCTTGTCATACGGAAACTGTTTAACCTACCGGTCATGAAAGCTCAAGATCCCCTCAGAGCCCAACGCGCTATGTAAAAGAATCGTAAGAGATAGTCGAGACCATCCGCAGAATAGGGGTCGCTATGCCATTGGATGAGGACTTCGAGAGTGTTCGCCGAGAAGATACTTCAAGACATCAACAGCCCTCACTACGAAGAATAACTTTTCAGTATACCCCGGGAAAACTAGCCGGACGGGCGCCTGAATGACTCACTCAGAATGATGGTACTACCCCCATTCAAGCACCCGTCCGTCTATGCCCTCAACTCCAGTAACGGTGCCCGCACCGACGCCACTGCTTCATCCTGCGGTCAAGTCGAGAATAACGATGGTAGTAAGCGGAGGGAGTCACTCCGCAGTGCGGAGTCCGCACTGTGCTCGCCAGTCCGGTATTGACGGCATTAACGACAAATTTTTAACGGTAGGCATCTCCTGCAATTCTCTATGATGTTTGAAGGGATCAGACGGTATTAAGGGCAGTAAGTAGTACTTACTAAGTACTCTCGGAGAGCAACCCCAAAAGAGCAACGAGTCGTGGCCAACGAAGATAGCGATGGTGCTGAGGAAATCAATCCTGCTGCAGCTTTAGGTTGAGCCCCTCAGAATAATCTGTGACCTTGGAAGCTTCCCGAGAATCAAAGCTCAATGGGAGACCAGTGTCGAAGGTTAACGTGTTACAGTAACACCGTTACTGAGAGTGAGCCGACACGGTAACTAGCAAAGGAACTCACGCAACATTTTCTCATTTTCGAAACAGGAGAATCCCAAAAAAGGTTGAAATCTATAGTTTCTATTAATCCAACATCAGCGAACCTTTGACTGCATCTCTATCGCCATGGACCCTCTTGAGTATGCTTTCAGTCCAACCCCAAAACTCAGTCCTCATAGTATCGTTACAGGTCCACCAGTAGGCCGAGTCCTTCTGCCAGTCACCACGGTATCCTACTGGGAGATAATATCTGACATGAAAATCACAAGTACTCATCTATCCCTACGGAACAACCCATATTAACATTATTCGTGCATTCGCCCCAGACTTACCCATCACCGTTAATATCCTTTTCCACAGCCGGACGAAGAAGAGGCATTGCCCCCTCAGTCGTGTTGTAGGCTACGAAATGTGGCAAGTAGTAGTTCGCCATACTAAAGTGGGTAGCAACGCACCCAGGATGGGCAGTGTTCACCACAAACTTGCCCGGAAACTTTTTTTCCAGACGAGTCGACAGCTCTCGAGTGTAAAGAATATTAGCCAGCTTACTGTTGCCGTACGCCTGCCATGGCCCAAAAGCATCAGCAGTGACGTTGTAGCGCAACCCCTCAGGATAGGTGTACAGATGTGCTGCACTGGAAGTGATAACAACTCGTACTTTACCAGAGGTTCTCAGTAGCATAGGCGTGAGCAACTCGAAAAGATAGGCGTGGCCGAGATGATGAGCGGCAAGCATCGATTCAATACCGTTTTTATCAGTGCCATACTCCGTGATCAACTTTCCCGCATTGAGCAAAACTATATCGAAATGGTCAATACCCGCGTTAGGGAGAGCTTGAACAAAATTCCTGATAGTGTCGTAGTCAGATAGATCCAAGGGAGCCGGTGCCAATACCTGACCCGGTAGGGAAGATGTTATTTTATCTAACCTACTGCGGTTGCCTCGAATACCCACGACCACTTTGGCACCGCGAGAAGCGAGTATTCTGGCAGACTCAAAACCAATACCACTGGAGGCTCCTGTGATGAGAACCACTTTACCGGACAGATCAGTGGGTATGTCATCTACAGTAAATTCCCTACTATGCTTGAGGTTGGAGAAAGGGAAAGTAACAGCCAGCTGACGGAGCCCAACCGAGAGACTCTTGGGAGATAAGTCCACCTCCACATAGGAGACCAACGCCAAGAGAACGGCGACGACAGGGACGAAGACTAAGGTCACAGTACGGAAGAATCCCATTAGAAGATTCAAATAAACTACTATGCAAATGATTCAACTCATTGTGGTTGGAATTGATACGAGGAGACACCGTTGTGCAGTGAAAGGGATAGTAGCAAGATGGAGCTGTGCTGTCCATTGGTCTAGTTCTATAATCAAGCTCGTAGAGACGTATTCCTGTACAACAACGACTACCCAGATCAAAAGTTTTCCCAATGGCAAGTCAAGGCAAAACTCAAAATGAGACAGAGCCTTTACTCATGTCCATTCAAGTGATCTCACAAATTTATTCCAGGCCACCTCCGTCACTGGCCAGAAGCAGTGCGTGATAAGCACCACGAGAAGCCAGCATCGTGGCTGGAGACCCCAAGCAGATGTGACCATCTCAGTAGGAAGATCACAGGAGATAGCGTCCTCGCTAGAGTTGTTGTGTTTCTAGGCTTGTTATTATAAGGAGTTCATCAGAAACGAGCAGTATGAATGCCAGGACGGAGCGAAGAGGGCTCAACGGATAAATGAGGTTAGCCGCAAGGGGCGGAGACGTGGAGCATCCGAGCACACTCAGAATGTCACTCACGTCACGGACAGATCATGAGCCACTACATGACGAGAGATCTGTTGAAGACCAAGTCGTCTAGCATGAAACCGCATGCTAGCGACCACGCAAGATCTACTCAGTGCTATCGATTACAATGGCGTAGCGAGATTTTAACAGCGCCTGTTGCAACAGCAAGATATTAGGGTTTGCGTAGCTGACAAAGGAAGGTTTCGTATTGCTAGTAACAAAGCAACCCTTAGAAGAGGATAGTATAATACGTTGTTATTAAGTCCGAAGATTCCTCTTAGGTCCCTTCACGAGGTTCCATCGGACGGCCCATCGGTGATAAATTTCGCGGATATTGAACATCAATTCCATGAGGATGAAGGAATGAAATTTCTCAGAAGAGGGCGTGATGCCCTGGGCATCCATCTCATGATAAAAGAATATAATTTTTCATTGCCGTTTAGATGATGTAGATATACACTGTACAGCCCCAGCATCCATTCATTGAAGGTGACGTAACACCCTTCATGGTATTAAGAAACCCCATGCATCTTGTTATGTGGAGAATGGTTCTACACCTTTCAATGAGTAGTGATGTGCATGCGTGCTGCCAACACCGTTTACAAGTTTTCAGCCGACTCCTTGGTGTAACAAATGTGGCGCCAAGAATTTTCTGAATGATCACTGTACATTGCGTTAAAGTGAAAGGAGGTTCAGTGAGTGTGAATCATATATCACTCTAAGGGACGAGTACGTCGTATCGGAGTCTTTGCTAGAGTTCTCTAGGTCTGCGTGATTTCATGCTGTATCATAGCCACCAAGCAGAGTGGCTCACTAAATTGAAGGTCAAATGTCGTTACGTATGCGGGTGAGTGCCGCTGAATCTGGAGTGAATCTTCGCAATGAGTTCTTCAGAGTGCCCATACTACCACTGGACTCGGGCGCGAGGAACTCTGATGTGCCCAGTGTTGAGGAGAAGTGGAAACAGGAGGAGCCGGGTACAGGATTGGTTTTTCGCAGCCCGTTATTCCTGACAGATGGGTTGCTGTCTTTTCAAACGATGATACTCGAAATTTCAAATTTTTGATCGTCGAATTGTCGAAGTTGTAACATTTCCTCGTTTTGGACGATCACAATTTGAACACACTTCACATATGGTTGGCTCTATCAGGCTATTTGGATATTGTTGATGAGGCTTTGAAGGCGTTTCGAGTGGACATTCTGGCCCTTGGCACTTACCGTGGAACTGAAGGAGGAGGAGGAGGAGGAGGTCCTCATATGCGTGACAGTGAGACGACTTGAAGCACTTGGTGACGGCGCTGAGAGTGTCACCGTGTAGGGTTCCGAACAATGGACAACTATGACCGAGTTATGACCTACCTTATGGTGTGGATACATCGATGCCTCTGTATCACCATTGAGGCTATTCGGGATGGTGACACGCAGAGTGACGCTGCAGGTGATCCTCGTCAGTAGCATAAATTCCTGCACCAGGTGGCTGCTTATCCCTGTCAGATAATAACAGCGGCAGATGCAGCCAAAGCGGTGGTAGGATGTCCAAGGACAGACTGCTGTGGATCCTCAAGGATGCCTCTATTGATGCCGATAAGGATGGGGAGTCAATCAGTGACTGGAAACGTGAGTGGTCGGCAACTAGCAGGAAGAGACGTTCCCCATCGCAGGAACATTGTTGCTGCTGAGAGAAGAGACAGATGTTAGTTCAATATCTTCGGATGACCTCGAGGATCTAGGTGCCTACTTTCTGCATCTCCGCAACATCACCGTGGATCGGTGAGTTCGTCTTGGTCGAGTTGTTTTGCAGCCCTATTGTGTAGGTTGGTACGTAGACATCTATATGGTGGCGAGCGAGAAGGAGGCCCTTCACAGTGTTGGTTGCAATATGCGAGACTCATTAGTGTTGGTCAGAATTAATAACGGTATTGTCACTAATTGTCGGCTGTGTTCGTGTTGTGTTCGTAACATGTGGTTGACTTTGTGTTAACGCTAGAGCCTCCACAGACCGCATAGTGCCACCTCCCTCGTACTCATCGAGACAATGCCAGTTGGCTCTACTACGACGTACAAGGAGGATCCCCGATGTTTGTAATAATCGCCCTTCTCAGTGTAGTGGAAGTTGTTCGATCAGCTTGATCATTTTTCTCGGAGGGGTATCATCCATAGTGCGTGTTTAGGATGTGGTAATGGTTGGCTGCTTCGATCAGGTACAGCGCTTTGGGCCTCACTCGAACGGCATCAGAGGTTGAGATCAAACGAGCATATCGACAACAAGCGCTGGTGAGCCCTTCTTTTTCTTGTTGCTGTTGTTGTTTTTGTTTTCCTCTTGTTCTTGTTACTGTTGTTGTTATTGTTGTTGTTGTTACTGTTATTGTTCTTGTTACTGTTCTTGTTGTTGTTGTTACTGTTATTGTTGTTGTTGTTGTTATTCGTGTTGTTGTTACTGTTATTGTTCTTGTTACTGTTCTTGTTGTTGTTGTTACTGTTCTTGTTGTTGTTGTTGTTACTGTTATTGTTGTTGTTACTGTTATTGTCGTTGTTACTGTTCTTGTTGTTGTTACTGTTATTATTATTATTGTTGTTGTTGTTGTTGTTGTTGTTGTTGTTGTTGTTGTTATTCGTGTTATTGTTCTTGTCACTGTTCTTGTTGTTACTGTTGTTGTTGTTATTCGTGTTGTTGTTCATATCGTTGCTGTTACTGTTGTTCCTGTTGTTGTTACTGCTCTTGTTACTATTATTGTTAATGTTGTTACTGTTGGATTTTCCCTAGCTTACCATCTTCTTTTTGTTAGAGATGGCATCCCGACAAGAACCAGGACAATATCGATGAGGCCACTGAAAGGTTCCAGCAGATTGGAAGAGCCTATGAGATCCTAGGGGACTCGCAGAGGAGGCGAAGGTACAACATCAACGATATCTTACTTTGGTGGGCTATCTCTCGCAGGTACGACCTTGAGGGAAGTATTGATGATGATGCCGCTTTCGAGGAGCAGAACATGGATGACTTCCTAGTACAGCTCTATAATTGCTGTTCGCTCTCGTACGTGCTGTTTTAGAACCTTTTCGCAGGAGCAATGGGAGGAGGCTTCATGGGACCGGGAGTAGTGTATTCAGGTGCCGCTTGGAATGGCTTAGAATCGCTGTTGTTTCTTTAGGTCTTCTTTGGTGGTGGGGGAGGATTCTTCGGTGGTCCACAATTCTATACAGTGGATTCCGATGATGATGACGACGATTATGATGAGGAAGACTTTTTCGATGTATGTCCTTTTCTGTTGGTGTACGTCTCACACGTGCCCGTAGGGAGTGTGGGGCACACCTCCACTGATGTCTTCAATACTCGCCTTCCATTCTCGCATGTATGTTTATTAGGAGCTCCTCGGTGGTGGTCGTAGTAGCCGCACTCGGCATAGAAGGGATGTTACTGAGGACTTCATAGCGGCTATGATGTTCGATCGGATATTCACAGTAGCAACACTGAATGGATGATACGGCTTTCCAAGTTCGGCTCTTGTCAGCGTGGGTGGCATCGTAGTGGCGATGATGAGGACTGGGAGACTGTCGAAGAAGACGATGATGATGACGACGACGATGACGACTCCCTATTAGAAGCTCTCTTTTTGGACCGCTTTGCGCATCCTGTGATGAACCAGCCGACTCGAGGTAGAGAGAAGTTCGCTTGTTATTATGTTGTTATTGTTCTATCGTGTAGGTGGACCTATGAGATTCAAATGTGGAGTATGTCGCTCTTGCTTGGCGGGTAAGCTAGGGCCTCACCGGGCAGCAGTGTGCTTGTGGTGAATCTTTATGATGATACTTTCTGCTGTGGGGACTTACTCTGGGAAGCTATACAGTCTTTAGTATAAGACTCGTATAGTCTTCGTTGACGTTGTGTATACATATGATCTGTGTGTTCTTCAGGTACTGGTTCAGGAGGGAAGACGTATAACGAGAACGGCATACATCGACATATTACAGAGGACCATCAAAACTGGCTACTGCGATTCAGAGAGATTATTGAAGAAGAAGCCGCCGATATTTTCGACTTGGTGATTGGTCGTTTCAACCACTGGTGATTTGCTCGCTTTAGGATGACGACGCTCTCGAGGAGGCACTGGACGCTGTACAAAAGGAAATGGGGAAGTCCAAGGCGACTTCGTCATCATCATCATCACCGAGACGGAGCAAGTCTGAGAAGAATACGAGTAGTGGCTCTTCGAAAGAGGAGGCGCCACCACCACCGCCATCGACTGCTGCTACAACTACGGGAGAGAGTAAGAACGCTAGACGCCGACACAAACAGCAGCAGCAGAAGCGCCATAAGAAGGGAAGACGATGAAGTTATTGTTATTTTCAAGCATTGATTATGGATCTTCGCAGAGTCGTGTTGTTCGAGTTGTCTCATCGGTGGGTATATACACATGAAAGAACAAAATGATATCATTAGATTTGGTTGAGACAATATAAATGCAATTCGTAAGGGTAAGAGTTATGGAAGACTCTACGAGGGATGTAAGGAGTGGTCATGCGCGTGCGTGCTTTTTTATCAGTCTTCTTGTTCGTCGCATCAGCTTTCGATAGCTGATGCTAATTCCTTGGCGGTTTGTGCGGTGAATGGCTTAGTGCAGAAATGGTCAGAATTGTGGTCCCAACGTCGGGATTTGCGATCCTTTATTCGGTCAGTGGAACAGCAGACCAACATGACGTTACTAAAGAGGAGTGACTAGGAATTGAACCGACGACCTTTCGGATAAAGGTACCGGTGTAGTTCCTTGTTAGACAACATTTCTCGTATGGTTTCGGCTGCTTTGGCGCCGCCCATCTAAGGTGGCCTGTTGAGATCCAAAAAAACAATAAGAGGACCGTCTACATCCTAGCTTTCTTGTAATTCTAACTGAGAAACAAAACTTAAAAACACCAAGTCGACGACGGCTACCACATTGTCGATGTCATCTTCCCGGCAGTTGACCCTCCGTATTCTGTCCTCGGCAAATCTATGGGAAGATAGACTCATCTTCGTCATCAGCGAGGAGCAAATCTATGGCCTCAACTCCATTGAAGGTCCGTACAGGGGCCTATTTCACAAGAAACGGTCCTTAAGGTGCACCTTGCATTTAACAGCAAGAGGCGAGGAGCTTCACTTTAGTTGCACCTCGTGCTCTTGAAGTTTGGGTGCACCTCGTGGACCTCAATCAGGAGCACGAGGAGCACCTAAACATACACCGATGTAGCACGAGGAGCACCTAAACATACACCGATGTAGCACGAGGAGCACCTAAACATACACCGATGTAGCACGAGGAGCACCTAAACATACACCGATGGGTATGAAAAGTCGACGCAGTGCTTCGATACAGCTCAAAAACATCCGCGGACGAGATGGCATCTCGGAGATGCGTGGTCCGGTAGGAAAGAAGCGGAGCGAAGCCCCCGAGGATGGTAAGGCGCGGATGCGATAACGTGCCGTAAAGTACCTCGGGACCTCACGTAAAGGTCTTAAGGAAAGAGCCAAAAAGACCTCCTATGAAATCGTCTTACGTGAGGAGGCCTCCTTGTGCCTTGTGAGACAAGGAGCCTTACGGCGAGGAATCTTATGCCTCCCTTACCTTACAGCGTTAGCTCGTACATAACTAACTCTGATTGCCATTGAGGAAATGCAAGATTGCAAGATTTATGTAGGGCCACCCCTTCCCGCGCGTGATCGATTTCGCTATAGCTTTCCCCCTGTCTTGGTCTTCCTTTACGGAGAAGTCATCACCCACAGCGATGCCGTCTTATAATCGTTTCGTAGAGCCTGGCCGCTTCTGCACCGTTACTTACGGTCCCGATGAGGGCAAGCAGTGCACCATCGTCGATGTTGTTGACCACCGAAGAGTCGTTGTTGATGGACCCAAGAACGTCACTGGTAATACCATAGATAAGTCGATCAACATCATCATAGAGACGATCTCAGGTGTGGCTCGTCAGCAGATCCCTATTCGTTGGTTGGCCCTGTCGGATTTCGTCGTCCCCAACACTTTCCGTGGTGCTCATGGCCCTACTGTGGCTAAGGGCCTCAAGGAGGGCGATGTGCTTGCTAAGTTCAACGCTACTAGATTCGCCCGTAGGCGTGTTGCTCGCAAGAACAAGCTCGCGTAAGTATCTTGAGCATCACTTTGAAAGATTCAAAATAGGTCCGAATTATGGCATTTGATTTTGTTGTGATTTCTCAGTCTCACCGACTTCGAGCGTTTCAAGGTTATGGTTGCCAAGAAGCGCATCGGTCAGGCCATGCGCGCCTCCATCAACAAAGTCCGCAAGCAGCACTAATCAGTGGTGTCTATGACGCTGATGCTCACAATCACTACTGTTGATCACAACAGTGGATTATGATGATGACGACTGACGCTGTATGAAGATGATGATGATGACCAGGCTGGAAATAACAATGCGAGTTGTGTTCTATGTGACGGGAGGGAATCTTAGGTCGAATCTAGAAAGATACAAAATAGGTCCGGATAAGAGCCAGGTGCTGGTATTTATCACACTTAAATCTGTGTTTGACCAGCTAATAAGCGCCGATAAAACTACATGAGGAAACTGCGCTTGTGATTCTGGAGTCATGTTTCATTCGGATTAGCTCGTCCTGGGTTCTCCCTCATGATTTCATTTTTAGTATTAATAATGGCATCTCCGGGGGCATCCACTGTGGAATCCATCGATGTTGATGCTATCATTGAGAAGCTCCTTGAGGTAGTAGTAGTAGTACTAGTAGTACTAGCAGTACTAGTAGTACTAGCAGTAGTAGTATTAGTAGTAGTAGTGGTCGTCATAGTACTATGTTACGGACTTATCATGAACAGGTTCGTGGATGTCGGCCTGGTAAAGGAGTCCAATTATCGGACGGTGAGATACGGGCACTGTGTAACAAATCAAGACAGATCTTCCTCGAACAACCTAACCTATTAGAACTAGAAGCACCCATTAAGATATGTGGTATGTGTCACCATCACCGTGTCACCACTGTATCATCTGCCCAGGTGATGTGCATGGTCAATACTACGACCTTTTGCGGCTCTTCGAATACGGAGGCTTCCCACCCGAAGCGAACTACCTTTTCCTTGGTACTTGTCATATCTCCTTTCCCCTCCCTAGTAACTTTGGTCTTGTCTCAGGAGACTATGTTGATCGTGGAAAACAGTCCTTGGAAACTATCTGTCTGTTGTTGGCATATAAAATAAAGTATCCTGAGAACTTCTTCCTACTCAGAGGCAATCATGAGTGTGCTAGCATCAACAGGATATATGGTTTTTACGATGAATGTAGGACCAATTCAGGGAGGAGTGGTATTCGACAGTATTGTTCTTGTTATTGTGTTTACGACAGACGCCAAGATGGCTCAGTCTGGTGACCCTCCCTCGTGAGCCATAGGGCGTCAAGGGCACTTCTCTTATATCTAGACAAATAATTCAGAGCGTATAAGCCCTTTCGAAAACAGTATTGCAAAGAACCGCTATAGTCACATGAACACGCCCGAGAATATAATGCCTCTGTGATATACGCTGCTAGACGGCTCAATGTCATAACTACTATTCGGGTTAAGCTCCTTGGATGTTTCCCGCCCAAAATTTGAAAATCAACTGATTTGATGTTGAGAGTTTTTGGTCAGAGTTCGGACGTGTTTTGTATCAATGGCGACTTATGTTAGGATATTCGAGCCTTGGTGATTCGTATGCAGTTGCTGATGATGATAATGATCGGTCTTGTCTCATCTTAGGCAAGCGCAGATACAACATCAAGTTGTGGAAGATTTTCACGGATTGCTTTAACTGCCTACCGGTGGCCGCAATAGTCGATGAGAAAATACTCTGCATGCACGGTAGTAACTTTCGAACGACGACATATATGACCTATTTCTCACAACGCTCCCTCTGGGCTGGTCTTGCATCTTACAGAGTTGTCACTAAATTTCTGGAATTTCATTCGATCAGTTTGTCATTGATGGATTCGAATTCGGCGTGGAAAATCCCACTTGTCGTTATCATCAGGGGGTCTGTCTCCCGAGCTCAACTCCATGGACCAGATTAAACGGATATTACGTCCAACAGATGTTCCCGATACTGGTAGCGCCCGTAGTGACATTCATAAGCCTAGTAGCAGCTCTCAGGCTTACTATGTGATCTACTCTGGTCTGATCCTGAACAAGACATCAGCGGTTGGGGAGAAAATGATCGGTAGTATATCAGACCAGCAGCACAATCAGTGATTATTGGAGTCCCTGTCAGAGGAGTCTCGTTTACATTCGGCGCGGACATCGTTCAGGCTTGTCTCAGAAAGCACGATTTGGATCTAATATGTCGAGCACATCAGGTTAGTCGTATTAAGGGGAAGGGGTAAAGTTGTGGTATAGGTTGTTGAAGACGGATATGAGTTCTTCGCGAAAAGGCAGTTGGTGACGCTGTTTTCTGCTCCTAATTATTGCGGTGAATTCGATAATGCCGGCGCGATGATGAGTGTAGATGAGACTCTCATGTGCAGTTTCCAGGTAGTAATAAGACAAGTTACAGTAGTTGATATTGCATGTGATACCATGATGAATTTCCGTAATGATTCGGGCAGTTGTGGTATTCGTAACTGGTGTATCATCGGTACTCGTTATGGCAGGTGCTTAAACCGGTGGAAAAAAAGAAAAAGTAGGAGGAAGTAGGGTATGCTATACGTGGGAGACAATCTCATCGGAATTGCTAAGCTGCGATAATGATGATGTCGTTCTGGCTGCCATTTCCATATGCAGCCCAGGAAGTCCCCAGTTGTTGCCAAAATCGTTGCTATGGGTTTTGGTGGTTTACCTCGCTACTATTGTTTCTCCCCTTCCCTCTCCTACTCTCTAGTAATAATCTGTACCTTTTATTATCATATCGTCATCATCATCATCATTATCGTCGTGGAGTATGTTGACCTTAGCCTTTGATTATGTTATCGATCGTCTGGTCGCCGTGTTGTTGTTCTGATAGTATCAGCATCATCATTCTATCTTCGTCACATGCTGTGAAGTGTGGGGCATGAATAAGCAATCTCAAGTAACGCTGCTAATTTCGTGGCGTGCGACGGAGTGTAGAGCTCATGGATGCAGACTGCATTACCTATCTCTTGTTTTATACTTGTATGAACGATAGCTTCGGCTCGTCCCTGATGATGGAGCCATCGTCGTCGATCAGCATAGTGATAGCTGTAGTCAATGGCAGCGTTCGGTATCATCATCATAATCATCTACGGCTGTCACATTCTCGCACGATAGTTGGTGGTGATATTAGTAATGACGATAACAGCAACAGCAGTACCATCGTTCTCCATTATACTGGATTGTCGCTGGTCTTGAGTTCAACAGGAGAGTCACTCGACGGGTTCATAAATACGATAATGTCTGAGGTCTTGGAGGATGGAGGGAGTGCGGATCGAACCTCTGCGGGAGAGTGCGCAAATTCCATCGTCAGCGGTGGTGAACCAAACGACCAAACAGATTCGGCAAGATCTGAGAACTCGAGTATCGCGGAACCAGTAGCCTTGGGGGTAGGCGTAGAGGAAAATAACCACTCCTTTAACTCGACGTACAGGTCAGGTTTCCCACACTGCCAGAACTCGGCTACGACTATGTTTTGGAAGATTCCAATGGCATCTCTGACAAAGTAACGTCACGTCATCACTCATAGGGAACAATTGAGATCCCATACGCCCACTCAACATGTTATGCGAAGTTTCTTTGTAGGAAATTAGCGAACTCGCACGCGAATTCCGAGTAGTGAATGTGATCGGGGACGGTCTTGTGACGTCAGAAGAGGCCCGGATAGCCTCCAGCCGGTGAGCTGTGTTTTTCAGCAATCGATGGAGTGTGTTGAGATCAGGGCCGGATTCTGGAGTACCGATGACGAGTTCGCTGACGTATGAAAACCGATTTTTCACGTCCGTCGCGATGACGACTCAGCCCTCAGGCACTCGGCGAGACAGATCCCTTGGGAGAAGGACTTCTCAGTTTTCAGGATTTTGTCAGGTCAATTCGTTATGCTATGATACTCCTGGAAAGGTCGCTGATTCCAGGCTTGTATCTCTATTAAGGCGAAGTGCCATAACAGAGCTGGAAGTCGTTGAGGCATTTAGAAGCTTCGACCGAGATGGTCGGGGTAAGCTAGATGCGGCAGATCTCGTCAACGCTATGACCTCTATGGGGAACGCGCTGCTAGAAGACGAGGCCTATCAGATGATTCATCAGGCTGATCCAACAGCCAGCGGTGAGCCGCTCATTTTTGATATTTTGTAATTGGGACGATCACTTTAGGAGTTGTTGATTATCACTCATTCGCCAAAGCGGTGTTCCGCATGTTATGAAGAGGGTTCTGTACACTTCTTTTGTCGGGTTCGAAGTCAATACATCAACACAAATTTTGATTAATCAACCGACCATAAAACCTCCCAGCGTATTCGGCAATGCCGGAGTGTGTACCAAGATTTTGCACACTACTTTCCCCAACTGAGACCAGATGCTCGATGCTCCCTCGGCCTAAAGGAATGGAAGAGCTGCTACCCGACTCTGTGATGACAGTGGAGGTGTGTGGCCTCTCTTACAATTGCTGTCGCTCACCCGACTGACAATACCCAAATACGTTCTGCTGAACAGTCTACTTGCTTAATAAGTTCAGTCTCCCGGCTCGGGGCTCGGATCTGCTGATGGTTTAGTTATTGAACCCAAAGTAACTTGTATTCGTAATGGGGATTCAATGTCCCCAAAATGAGTGGTAGAGACATCTGGTAGAGTTTTGAATTCAAGTTACTTTAGGATCATCCGAGCGTCGACTAACGACCAAACTTTCCCTCGCGTTGTTTTCGGTCACGACTGGCATCAGTAGCGAGGATAGGGCGGTATATGACTTTGTTCAAGGCGTTAAGGGTTGTTTCGTGTCCGTTATTTTCTGTTCCCTTACCTGACGGAGCTTATGTGCTCATCGTGAAGCTCAGTGTTTGACTTCCAACTATACTAGACAACTCGAGACATGATTGTAGAAGATGAACTATTAGTTCTACTGAGGAGATCTTATGAGTGTTCTGCGATGTGATGATACATATGACTATGGTCTGTAGACAGATAATTTATAAATCAGATTCCAGAAATGTGATCATTTCTTAGAGGAGAAAATAAAAAGGAGATCAAAAAAGTTTTTACTCGTGCTCGTGTCTCCCAGTCGGGTGAATGCCTTGCCAAGAACAAGACTAGCTACGTGTAGAGTAGTTGATAGCAGAATGATGACACCACTTATCCCTCACTATTAATGAGATGATAACATAGGTTAAGATAGGTTCTCCAAATCCGCAAATGCTCAGCTAATATGAAAAATTAGCATCACAAAAACTCAGCCGACTTCCTATGGACAGTGACCGAGGTCGACGAAGTAGAGAGTGTACGTTGCCGCATACTGGCAGGTGTAGTCAGACCACCCACTGTAGGTTCATCAATACGTGGCGTTGGGTCGAGCAACACAGGCCTGACATCACACACATAAACGGTTGTCAACTCGCAAACTCCGTCCCACCCGAGATCCCCAGATGTCTGCCGGCCCGTATCGAAATCTACCGCGCCTAGGTCAGTAGTGTACGCACGGCGACGAGTCGTATGCTGTCTATGATCTGCCACGGAAGGTGCGAGGACAAGCTCTCAGTCGATGGACTCACTATGCTGCTTGTGGTAGCGGACAGCGCGGCCATCACGCATACGAGCTGGAAGCTGTTGAGGGGGGTCGAGAAGACCCTCATCTGCTGTGATCGAATCCAAGCGCTTCGGTCTCCTAAGGGCACAGATGGGGCCTATTGCGAGTGTGAAATCATCATGTACATCATTTATACCAATAGTTTATCAAAGGATACCATAGAACATATCTCATATGAATATCTCTATTTCGCATTATAGAATTCGTGATACAAGGGCTATCATATTCGTCGATACGTGTGAGAAACTGACCTGATGGCTCGGGCGTAGTACTGAGGGCGAAGTCCTGTATTGAGAATTCTATCAGAGGGAGTCCAATGCTGAGGTGGTGGACGGGACAGCACGGTGGCATTCGTGTATTGATAATCACCGACACCATCACAAGGTCGAACCGGAGTTCCCGTGCTCGTCTCTGGAGTTAGTGCGGCAAAATTGTTATAAAAATATTCATCACAAGTTTGACGATTCACACAGCTCAGGTTGAGCGAGATCTCTTGGTCTTGTTGTTGGCGATGGTGATGGTGATGCAAAGAGACTCTGCTGCCATCGTCGTTGACGACGATAGGACGGTAACTCTCTGGCATGTCGATAACAGGTGAGTTATGATAGTGTGCAACATTGGCTTCAAATCCTGAGCAGGTCATTCACACACACAGATGTAGAGAGTATCCACCACCTTGGACCCGAGCCCAACAGACTTTCAGCCGCTTCACGCACCATGCTTCACCCAAATGCGACAGGGACACATCTGATGACAGGGAACGAGTACATCGTACATATGCCATCAGTAGTGCTATGTCACCGTTGAACTTATTGTAAAATTCGTCGACATACTCAGGTCTACGCAGATTGATAAATGCGTATCCGAGATTGTTCCCCGACGAAAAATCCAAAGGGGCGTAGAAAAAATCTATTTTGGACCTGATGCCAAACACAATTCGTCATGATGAATCGATGAGCCGTACTGAAATCCCATAGACAGTAGGGCATCTAAAACTCTCATCTGGCCCATAGAATAGGGAATATTCCGCAGCATCACAGTGGACCGAGTATCTACCACGTAGCAGCATCATAGCAACAACTACTCAATCCTGTACAGAGGTTATCTCGCCCTGTAGACGAAACTCATTGGCAAGATGAAAGCAGACAATTTAGAAGGTTAAAACTGATGATTCCTCGTGAGCTAATGTGCATCGATGCGCCGTGTTGTCGTAGTAGGCGCTGGAATTCAATCTCACACACAGAGTTCAATCGTGTGTTCTCATACCTGTTGATGACGGCGGGCCATTACTATTCCCTATAAGACTGCTGGAGTTAACTCGATCGTTATTATTGGCTCGAGAACCGGTCACAAGACCACGTGACGAACGGCGACTCCGGTAGTTGTAGTCGAGGCCATTAACGCGACCAGTACGGGTAGGCGAATAGGACAAAGTTTGATTCATAGTCTTGCTCATCTTCACACCAGAGGGTGTCAAGGAAGCCCCTAAAGTCAAACAGGTTCTCTCTCAAACTAACATGCAAGGAAATCTAGGAAATGCAACCATTCTCACCAGCTGACGGTCTGCGGTCCGACATTGTTGAATCCTCGCCGCACACAGGTGAACTATACTGAGGACTACCACAAGTCATTTCGCATACGGGGTTTCCATCGAAACAACCTGAACCAGATCCTCAACAGAGACTACGATGACGTAGTCACTCACCGTCAATGGCGCATTCAGGGCTAGAGTCGTTGACAAGTTCACAGACTCCACCCTTTAGAGCTGCAGGACAACTCCTCTCTCTGCGATAGGCCGAATTGTACTGTGTTGGCCAGCTTCGTGTATGCTCGAATGCACAGACAGGATTAGAGGCATGATGGATGAGTTCTAGAGGACTCTCCTCGTCCGAGTCAGCGCCAATTACTCCTTCAACAGGGTCCAAGAGCCGCAGTGATATGAAGGTATTCTTCAATTCAAGAGTGCCGACACCTTTACGCCGGGTCCACGAGTTCGGACTGACAACAAAGTCAGGTTGTTGGTCATTGAGACCACCATCGGTTTTGTCACAAGCAGTGACGACCATGTCCTTGACACAGGGCTGGTCCACAAGGCTATCGCTAGAGGGGTACATTAGGCGTATGAGAGGGAGATGTTCTTGACGACACTTAATTGGCTGAGGTTAGTTGAGACTAGAGAGTAATGTAAGCCGATACAATACTCGGTCGACGAAGAATACGATACTGACAATAAGGAGGCAAAAGCACCTGAAATCGTTATAAATACCAATGGCGACAACACAAGTGAAAATAGTGACAACTATGGAAAAACATCGACAATAACATGGGTGTCCTAAAAAAACAACCAACGACATCCTATAGCACTATGCTAGACTCCTTAAGACTGCCAGGATGATCAACGTGATCCCACGCGGAAGCAATTTCTTGGAGTTTCGAGGCCAGCAGTTGGCTCCACTTAGGAGTGCTACAAGAGAGTGAGTGAACATGTCGTGCACGTTGATGAAGGCATTTGTCACTGATATGAACCCAGACTGATTAGCTGTGGATTTTGATGAAAGAGCACGAAAAGCAATAGCCATAACCAGGCCACACAGGGCTACGGCTCTGATACTGTAGTGCTCTGCCGCAACCGATCTTCACCAAGCAATAGAGAGGTAGTACCAGGCCGACCTGGCTCGGGTCAATGCCAGCTGGGAATGCACTGTGCATGGTCTGGATGAGATTTATTGCAATAGACCGTCCAGAGCGAGGTTCCCAGCTGCTGAGGGTACTTCTGGAGACGTGCTCTGGTGCCACATAGGATGACCAGAACCAGCTGGGGGACCGGCAGTGTTAGACATGATAAACAGGGACCGAGGTCGAGTGGTAGAACAGTTGGAGATATTTTCCAGCAAGGATGACGTGTTGTCTTGAAGGGTCCACACATATGTTGTGCATGTAGCTGCAGAGTATGCAACAAAAAACGCTATGGATCAACGGCACTTGAAATTCAAGATAAAAATGGTGGGGAAAACGGGTATCGAAAAAGATGCCAAAAACTGGAAATTGTGTCTTGAATAAGGAAAAAAAACTCGAAATAATATTGAAAATTATGGACTATTTTTGGGGTTGCATTCACTTTGCTCAGAATTGATGCTTCCTTCGCGATCGAGAATAGACCGAGCATCGTTGCAAGTAACTTGAGGCGACTTCCTTGGCCACCAGTTGAGCCGACCAATAACCCTTAGCAGTGCCGGTGTCACTATAGTGCGCATTATACACGTGTCAAACAAGACCGCCGTGACCAGCAGGACTCCCGCTTGGTTAATTAGTGGCATCGATGCGAAGAGAAGACCGCAGAAAGCAATGGTCATGATGACTCCAGCCATTGTGATAACAGGTCCAGTCTTCCAAACACCAACGTGTACCGCAGCCTGATCTGACAGACCATTATCGTGCTCCTCGACAACTCTACCCAGAAGGAATATCTCATAGTCTAGGGCCAGGCCGAGTATGACTGAGAACCCCAGTGTTGCTACAGTGTACGATATGTCAGTACTGACGGCTGGAGATATGGCTTCAATATTGAGAAACCTAAACCACCCCATCTGTTGGCAACCAACCAGCATACCAAATGCCACTATAAGAGTGAGAGCGATAGTTACGATGCTCCTTAGTGGTATCATTACAGAGCGATACGTTACTCCTATAAGAAGTAAACATGTAGCCGCGGATGCGCCCGTGAACTGAGGAATGCTCTCGACCACAGCCGCGTTGAGATCGGCGACTGTGACACTAAGGCCTGCGATCCAAACCTTGACCACGTGACCATGCTTCTCGTTCTCTTTAGCCACCAAGTCGCGCAGTTGACCCAGAAAATGGGATGCCTCAGCAGAGCTCGGACGTTGTTCTGATATGAGAGTAGATAAGAGAGCTGTCCGCTGTGCATTAGCGCTCTTATTAAACGCTAGCTGCAGTGCTTGACATGTCGGCAGTGAACATGACGGCTTCAGTAACTCTTTCACCATTGGTAAGCTCAGACTTATAGGATCCTCTCCCGTTATTTTCGAATATAGAGGTCCTATTAGGGCACCATGCTTCTGCCTAGCCAACAGCTGTGTAGCGATGCTTTCACAGATCTCCCTTGAAACGGACCAGTACGGTTCTGACAATACTGTCGCCGCTGAAGTCGATTCAAAAGCCAACATATAAGGAGCAGTAATCCCTTCGGGGAAGCTTCGTGCAATAGCGTTGCCTACACGCTCCAAGCTCGACCCTCGAGGATCGAACTGCTTAACATCACCAGTCAGCCGCAGATGCGAGCTGGACCAACCAAAGAGAGCCGCTAACATCAAGACTCCGATGAGGGAAGGGATGAATGCCCATCTATTGGTTACCAACCGACCCCAGCGGAACCACAAAGGAGGGTCGAAGTGAAAGCATTTTCCAACTCTGCTACCACTGCGTTTATCGCAACAGTGGGACGGACAGTTGGTAAAATTGGTGAAAAAATTAGGAAATGTTATAATAAGTGTTGGGATAATCATAAGGTTCAATGAGAGCGAACATAGGACCGACACCATGAAAACTAACGCCAACGCTCTGAAAATCGGCACCAGCAGAATCCACACGAAACAAGAAAATAGTATACCTCCTGAGCTGACTATAATCATACCGCTGAAGTACAGCATATCGATACAGGCCTCTCGTACGCCCTTCTTCCTAATTATGATTTCCTCGCGGAACCGAGTGAGAAGAATAAGCGAATAATCAATGGACAAAGCCAATACGATAGCAGCCATCATTATGGGCGACGCCGAGTCGGTCTTCATGAGCAGACTGATGAAGTATACGCATGTAGCGCAGACTGATAAGCTCAATATAAGTGTACACAATGGTAATAGTAGTAATCTCCATGACTTGAATGCAATCGCCAATGCAGCGAATGCGAGGGGGATTACAAAGACGTGTATTATCAACAAATCGTGCTCGAGAAGAGCGGGGGCTTCTTTGATGAAGGCCCTAGGTCCACTGAAGTGGGCCACGAGATCAACTGCCCCGAAGCGTTGACCGAGCATATGGAGAACATCTTGTTCTTGGCGATAAACAGAATCAATTGTCCAAGTGACGGGGAATAGGACTGTTATGATGGAGGATCGATTAGATTCCGACATGAAAAATGCCGATACTCCGGGTAGAACCTGGGCGGAAAGATAACTCTCAATCTCGACCTCAGGCGAGTTCTTCCAATATTCTTCTACCACGCCTACGACTTCCTTTATTAAACCGTTAGTGAAGAAGTCGCCTCCAGTGTGAGCCGGCAACTCAACGAGGAGCACTTCAGGAGCAAACTCCTGTTCTTCGCCATAGAGTCGTACCAGCGCCCGGCCTGCCAAGGCACTCCCAGAATTCGGCGGTGCTGGCAGATTATTATCTATCTTGTCGTAGATATGTGTCGCACCATAAATGCATACCCCTAGGAGGACCACCCAAAACGACAACAATACATACCGGAACTTTCGCAAAAGGTCGAGGTACATCCCAACACACTCCCTTGCACTCGGCAGAGACAACAAGTGTGGCGAACAATGCATGGGGAATGCTATAAAGACTCAACTAAAGTGACCATCCCCTTGTCAATGCAGTAATACAGCATTCACTAACTTTTAGCCCAGCTCCCACAGCTCCACTACGACCCGCTGAAAATATGAAACTCCACTAAGATGGG